CTTCGGCTGTTCCAACCCTGCGCAGGGTTTGGAGGCTTGAGAAGGTAAGCTCCGTGAGTTGGGGGCCTGGATGTGAGGGAGTGAGTCTACTGTGCGCTCTACTCTCTGCCAGCCAGTCCTTGGAAAGGAGAAGCCGCCAGAGCTGGGTGGCCTTTTCGGGAGGAGCTCCCTATCTCTTTTTGGGGTCTCCAAAAGAAATGGAGATCCATAGTGGGCTGCCGTCCTCAGGCGCCTGGGCCGCCCTCTGTCTTCTCCAAGTTGGCTCGATAGCAGGTATAGCTTCCAGGCATCCAGGCCCATGAGCAGCTGGAGGAGGCCCAGGGGTGGCCGCGGTGACGCCTACCAGAAACCTCAGTGTTCTAGGATTACCTAGAAAGGTGCGGGGCCTGAGGTTCCTCTAAGCTGGGGGAAAGAGACTTGTTTCCCCTTCAGCCAGGGAGAACTAAGCATTTCGGGGAGGACGAAAGAGTGCCAAGCCCCTTCTCGGGCTGTCAGAGGCCAGCCAGGTGCCCAGGAGCTAACGCACAGAGTCTGCGGAGCCAGCGTGTCTAGGAGGAGGGAAGGGAACCCCATGTTAATAAATCTGTTGGCAAATGAGGCTCATTAATAGATAAATATTTCACTGCTTCCTCTAGGGCGGATAAACAGTGCGCCGCTGATTAAGGAAAGGAAGCTGGGAGACCTTGACTTTATTCGAACCACATGGTTCCAGTTTGCGGTGGCATTCTCTCTGCAGCTGGAAGCGACGCTGCGCCTGCCCCATCTGGATCGGAGTCTAAGTCGGTTTATCGCCCACTGGATCTGGGCGGGGTAGATGTGGGCAAAGAGTCGACTTGCCCAGAGCTGAGATTTGCCCACCAGGCCACCGTGGGGGGCGGGCGGGTGTGCGGGGTGCAGAGACCCTCCCTGGGCTGGGTCACTGGGCAGAAGAGGGGCAGGGAGGATCCCCAGGCTTGGTCCAGGGTTCGGTAATAGGCAAGAGGGGGCTGTGCGGGGTCGGCCCCGCGCGGCCTGTGCAGGCCAAGCGTCCAGGTTGGCGGCGGGCCGAGCGCTCTCGCGTAGCCTGGGGGTCCTTTTCCCGCAGGACGCGCCAGGCGGGCCTGGCGCAGGCAGATTCGTTGGCCACATATTTGAGCCTCTTCCCCTTCCATTCTAGGCTGCCGCGGGCCCCGCCGAGAGAGACCACCTGTGAGGGCTGCTGAGATTGGTGGAGGCGGTCATGTGGGCGGTCACGTGTTGCGGCGAGCTCGGTCCAAAAGAAAATGGGGTTTGGTGTAAATCTGGGGGTGTAATGTTATCATATATCACGCTACCTCGTAAAACCGACACTGAAAGCTGCCGGACAACAAATCACAGGTCAAAATTATGAGTTCTTCGTATTATGTGAACGCGCTTTTTAGCAAATATACGGCGGGGGCTTCTCTGTTCCAAAATGCCGAGCCGACTTCTTGCTCCTTTGCGCCCAACTCGCAGAGAAGCGGCTACGGGGCGGGCGCCGGCGCCTTCGCTTCGACCGTACCGGGCTTGTACAATGTCAACAGCCCCCTCTATCAGAGCCCCTTCGCGTCCGGCTACGGCCTGGGCGCCGACGCCTACGGCAACCTGCCCTGCGCCTCCTACGACCAAAACATCCCCGGGCTCTGCAGTGACCTCGCCAAAGGCGCCTGCGACAAGGCGGACGAAGGCGCGCTGCACGGTGCGGCCGAGGCCAATTTCCGCATCTATCCCTGGATGCGGTCTTCAGGTAGGCGCAGCCGCTAGGCGGGCCGGGTGGGCGGGCGGACTGGGAGCAGGGACCGCGGGACTGGGGAGCAGAGAGAGGCGGCTGCGAGCCGGCGGCCCCGTGACTCCTGGCGGCGCTGCCTTTCTGGTTTTAATTAGAGCTGAGGCGCCATAGCGTGGAGAGCCCACAGCATTGTATGTAAATGAGGCTCATAAAACTTTTTATGGCCCAATTAATGGGTTCGTACCTCGTAAATTTATTTAACTCCATTTGCCTTGGAATTTTAACGTTCAGTTTGTTTGTTCGCTATTCTCTCTTTTTTCCCCTCTCTTTCTTCTGTCTCTCTCCCTCCTCCTTTTCCTTTTAGCCTGGCTTTTCTTTCTCAAAGCAGGGAGAGACAAACCCTTCAGGGCCCCTCTGTCCTAGGGGCCATTTAAAGGCGAGAGTTGGGGAGCGGGGACAGAGGTTCGGAGCGCCCTGGAAAGGTCTGGGGATGGGGGGCGCGGGCTGCTGGGGAGAGAAAGCGCCCCTGGAGTGCGGGCCGCCCGAAGGTCGCCCACTTGTTTAGCAAGGCGGGGAAGCAGCCCGGCTCGCCTTTGAATGGCAAAAGCGCAGCGTCTCCCACTTGCCCACACTCTATATTTACAATTTCCCTTTGTCAGGGGGAAGCAGGACATTGTGGAAGCCTAGCCGGCTGGAAAGGGCGGTTGTAAAGTTGGGATTCTGCGCCTTCCCTCCTCACAGAGCTGCCTGCGGGTCTGGCACCGCAGTTGGGATCTTACACTAACACTCCCGGTCCTCCCCCAGCTCAGTTTGGGCGCGCAGGGCAGAGGGGGACGCGCTCCTGGGTCAGGGCCGGGAGGAAGGGTCGGGCTTTGGGATGGCGGCTTGGCTAATGCACTGCTCTGTCTGTATCCCTGTCGGCTTGTCTGTCCGTGCGTCCGCATGTCTGCTCGCAGGGCCCGACAGGAAGCGGGGCCGCCAGACCTACACGCGCTACCAGACGCTGGAGCTGGAGAAGGAGTTCCATTTCAATCGCTACCTGACGCGGCGCCGCCGCATCGAGATCGCCCACGCGCTCTGCCTCACCGAGCGCCAGATCAAGATCTGGTTCCAGAACCGCCGCATGAAGTGGAAGAAAGAGCATAAGGACGAGGGTCCGGCCGCTGCCGCAGCCCCCGAGGGCGCTGTGCCTGCCGCCGCCGCCACCACCGCCGCCGACAAGGCGGACGACGAGGAGGACGACGACGAAGACGACGACGACGATGAGGAGGAGGAGGAATAAGTGGCCGAGCCGGGGCCCTGCCTGCACCACACAGTCGGGAAAGCGTCTTTAGAGACTCGCTGATTTTATTTACAAAAGTAGAAAAAATAAAAAAATGTAAAAAAAAAAAAAAAAAAGCCCTGTCCCCAACCTGCACCCCATCTACCCCATTACCCACTTCAACTCCCAACTTTTCTGGACTGAGCAGCCGCCTAGATTGGGTCTCCTTGAGGATCCCCTCTGCCTCTGAGGACCCCTGACAGACACTCCCCCAATCCCGGGCCGCCAGCTCTGTGCTGGTGCAGAAAAGATACTACCTAGCACAGGCCTCCGTGAGAGGCACCCCCAAACTACCTATGGGCCCAGCCCCAGTGGGCCTCCACTCCAAGGAAGCCCAGATGTGTTCCAACACTGGCAAACACCCAGCAACCCCCCCCCCCCCAATACCGGCAAGGACCTGACTCTCAGTACTACCTACTCGCCCCAAACTACCTATTTTATGCTCACTGGCTTGCCTGCTACCTAGTGCCGGCCCCTGCCCAGCCAGGCCCCTGCTGCTTCCTGCTGGCAGTCTTTGGGGACACCCCTCCCCCAGGCTGCGCCAAGAAGGCACTGGGGTCTGGGGATCAGGGCATTGGCTTCTATTTAAATTGAAAAATAATATATTTATTCCAAAGCATTTTAAGTGCTGCAACCTAGAAGCCCTCCTTCTCTGGCCTGGGCACCCCAAGTTCAGGCCCGTCATCCCCCCAATTCTGGAGGGGAGCATTCCCAAGCTAGCTGCAGATCTCTGGATTAGCTTCTGCTTAGTAGGACTGCAGAGATGCTCCCAGCCTCCTTGCCCTCTCCTCTGGCCCCTGTGTCCTGCTGTCCAGCCATGTTGAATATGTACACCCTGACTTTTCCTACAATAGCAAATATTGTATATTTGAACAAGATTTTTTTTTTTGGTCATTTATATAGTCTTGGAGCTCATTTGTAAGGCAATGTCTTGAGAAGGATGTGTTACTGGGGTGACTTTGTAGCATGGTGTGTTGTCTTGAGCTAACTCTCTAGCGGGTGGAGAGGGCCATTGCCCTCTCCAGTGCCCTTCATCTCCTGTGTTGTCCTGCGTCCCCCTAGTCCCCCTCGGCTCTAGCCTGGGGTTTCAGGAACGGGAAGGTTCGCTTCCCGTCTTGCCCAGCTGTGTTTCATGTAACAGAAAAATAAAGATGCTTGGTGACAAAGAAACAAACATGACTGCTTTATCTAGAGGGTCCTGGGGAAAAGAGGGTGAGCATATGGGAGAGCAAGCTCTGGTTGTGCCTGTGTGCCCAAAGAGGCTTTGGGGAAGCAAAAGTGGAAGGATGAATAGGATCCAAGTGTTGGGTTCCATGTTATGGTGTATATGTGTGTCGAGTCCCTTTTTGTGTGGATTTTTTATGTGTGGACTTGTATAGGTATATGTGTACCTCTCTTTGTATGTGTAGTTTGGTGTATGTCTGTGTATTCTTACATGAGAACATACTTGTATGTATTTCTGTGTCCATGATTGAGAGCATGCGCTTCCGTGTGTCCATAATTGTGTATGTGCATTTCTCTGTGTGGAGATTTTTGTCCGGTTTTTGTGTGTATGTGCCAACATCTTCCAGATCCCTTGAAAATAGAATCTTCGATGGATACATTCTATCCTATGAACCTCCCTAAAAGCTTTCATAAACTCCGTGAGCGAATCTAAAATCTGCCCTTTTCTCGAAGGCTCTGCGGTGGGCTTGGAAAGGAATATTACCCTTAGACTGATCCCGAATTCTTCCTGAGCCCTGAACCCGGCCCCAGGCTAGGAGGTGGGATTCAGGGCCTCTGACGCAGCCCCCACCCCCACCCCGCATTCAGGCGAGTCAGGGCGCCCCAGGGCCCAGCACTGCAGCTAAGGGGTGCGGGAAGGGGTAGGGGCCGCACCCCGTGCTGCAAAGCCTGAAACCTCGGTAGGGGTGTCTGGGCGCGGGAAAGGATGAAGGGCCGGGGAAGGAGCGAGGGGCGGTGGGGACAGCGCAGAACAGCGTGAGCTCAGCGGGCAAAGACCTCGACTCCAGTCTCCTGCCTGGGTTGGGCCCGCTTCTTATTGCTCTTTTAGTAAAACCCGGCCCAATTGGGTCCGTGAAACCTGCGGCCCCAAGTCGGGGCGGCCTCCGTGGTAAGATGGCGCCGGTGTAAGAGCTGCCTCCTCTTAGTGATGGGGAAAGGGTCATAAATCCGTTGTTGTTTATGAAAATTTACAACTTTGCAATACAACTTTATGAGTTGTTCGGCCCTTCCATTGGACGCTGTCGGTCATGTGGATGGGAACCGTGAACATGAACTTTTTTATAATTTCCCTTGCGAGAATAGAGCCGCATTCTTTCGCTCCGCTCCGTCCTGCCTGCTTCGGAGCTCTGCCTTCCAGCCTGGCTCGGCTATGCTTTGTCCGGCGATGGTGAGCGAGATGAGGCCCCTGCCGGGCCTGGCCCGGCCGCTCCCGCTGGAGGTGGGGAGCGCCCAGTTCCCGGCGCCGTGGCGGCCGCTTTGCAACTCGCAACCTGGCTAATTTCCTGCGTCCTCTGGCACCAGGAAGGAGGACAATTCGTCTCCTCGGGCTGCCCAAGCGACAGCTGTCAGAGGTGCAGGAGCTTCTGGGAGCCGCCATCTGAAGGTGAGACATGTGGGGAGACAGGAGCAAAGGTGGTGAGATGGCTCCGGGGGCGGTGGGTGAGGGCACCCAGGGCGGCGCTGAAGAGGGGCATACTCAGCCTCACCCACACTCACCGTTCACATTCGCCCCCCCAACACACACACTACAGCACACACACTACAGCGCGCGCGCACACACACACACACACACACAGCCTCTCTCTCCTCTGCCTGGCTCACCATGGCAGTAAAGGCCGCCTTCCCTCCATGGCACAGCGCCTGGCACCGCGTGGGAGCACTGAGGTCTTCTGTCTCCCCTTCCCCAGAGACCTCAGGAAGACCAAAAGGAAGTGGCTCTGCACCCTGCCTTCCCTACCAGACCCTCGGGTTTGGATTTTTTCTCTCTCCCCTTCATGACCAAATTGGTTTGATTGAATTCCCCAACAAGTGGAGACAGTTCCCGACATGGGAAGGTGGGAAGAGGTGAGGGCAAGAGTGAATTAATCGACAGACATTTTATTAGCATAAACACACCACCTTCTATTCCATGGAAATTGGTTTCTGGAGAGAAAGGGGGAATGAGGGAAAAACAAACAAGGACTTACTAATTCAGCCAGAGTCCTCTGCTGATTGCCTGCTTCCCTTCACGCTGTTTTCCGATGAGAGAAGTGTCTGAAGCAGCGGGAGAAGGAATAGGTGCCTGGGTGCAACTCTGTGTTGGAGGAGATGATGGGGTTAATTGGCTGGGTGTTGCTTGGCGGGAAGTTTCGGCGCAGAGGATGTAGTGGTGCTTTTGCGAGTGGCAGGAGCCCACAGCTAAGGTGGAAGGAAGGAAGCAGACCGAGTTTGGGCGATAGGGGGACCCCCCACTCACCTCGGCGCGGCGGGCTGGAGACCGCGCGCCCCACTACCCGCCGGCGGGGAGAGGACGGCGGCAGCGCCCGGGAGTCGGCGCGGAGGGTGCCGCGGGCATTGTCTTTATGTAGCCCGGTGACCCAGACTGTGGCTTGGCCTGGGTGCGCCTTGGCCAGATTTGCCCCAGGGAGCTTCCCGGGACAGCGAGTAGAAACGATCCTGAGGTTCTGGGCTCGTGTTCTTTTTGTTTGTTTTTTGGCTTTGACTGTTGTTTTCCCACCTTAAGATAATACTTTACTGTGCGTTAGATAATTAAGAAGGGGTTGGGGATGTCTGGGACGTCCACTGGCGGTGCGGGTGCGCTCAGGGCGGATAAAGCGGCGCGTTTGCATCGCAGAGCCGCGGGGCTGCCTGACTGCGGCTGCCGCGGGCAGATTATTTATTGCGACCGCGCTAGCGCTCGCTGCTGCCACGCTGTGGCCGTCACCGGGACCGACGCCAGCCACAGCCCCGCGTCCTGCAGCCTGGCGCGACTGCTGCGCGGGCCCCTCAGAGATTCCCTAGCAGGCCGAGGAGAGAGGGGCGAGGGAGGACCTAAGGGGCGGCCTTCCAGGGCTGACGGGCCCGGAACCTCCCCTGCCTTGGTCACCCTTGGCAGGAACTGGACTCCCGACTAGACTCGGGTCCTCCCGCCCCAACCCCAGCACCATGGAGACTGGTTGCACAGGCCGCCTGGCACGTCATGGCTGCTTCTGTCCAAACCGCGCGTCCCAAGGCCCCGGGGGCGCACGCTGGTTCGAGGAACGCGCCCGCTTTGGGATTTTGAAATCGGAGAGGGCACTCCTAGTCCTGAGGCCTGCAGGCCTGGCTGGCCCTGAGGAGGATTGTCTATGGCAAGGAAGGCGGGCTTTGGCTCCAAGCGAGGGCCTGTGACAGGCAGAGGCCGCACCTGTGTGCTATGGGCTCTGGCCTGGGCTCGAGATCCCGGCGGACAGGGTGGCCTTCAAGGTCCCCCCAACACACCAGCAGGCCGCCCTCCAGGCTGATGGAGGTGGAGGAGCTCAGTGGGCAGCCCAGGGAAAGGGCGGACTATGGGGCCCTGCTCGCCATCCTGTCCCCCTTGAAGAGCAGCTGAAAGGTAAGTGGACTTTCTGTGTGGCTTTGACCGAGAAGAGAGCCCTGGTGGCCATTCTCACCATCCCAAGAGAGGCTCCCTCCAGCGTCTGGGGCTCCTATTCTTGCCTGAGTGGGTCTCTCTTCCTCTCTCTCTCTCTCTTTCCATATATATATATATATAGGCACCTAATGCTGGTTGGAGAAATAAATTGGGCGGCTGCCAACATGATATGTACCAGCCTTGGCTAACACGCAGGGATTTCAATTTAATATATTTCTTTCCATCATAGTGCCTGTAGAAGCTAAAAATACGGGGTTTTTTGCTCTTAGCTAAGAAATCAAATTCTCTCGTTGACTAGTACAATTATTAGATCGAAAATTCAAGTCAGACCATAACAAACAATAATGGTAGTAAACTGCCACTGGCCCTAACACTGTGTGGGACCTGGGGGAAGGAAGCAGAAATTATAAATGTAAACATTTATGAACATCTCCAAATGGTTATTTTCGTCTTACATGATAACAACTTGCTTGAAATCACTGTCATCTGATGGTCTTATTTAAGAAACTATAACTCAAACAAGATTTTCTTCGAACATAACTTTTAAAAAACAATTCCCCTTTTATTTTTTGGCTCATAAGCTTTCATTTTCACCTTTCAGGTCCTTTTCCTGAGGAAATGCAAGGGAAATGTTAAAATCTATCCTCTCCCTGGAGGTCTTTCTTTGTATATGTAAAGGAGAAACTTTCGGGGCTTGGATGATTGGGGCACAGGCAGAAGGCTTCTGGGCGAACCTCCATCGGGTGGGCAGCTGCGGCTTTCCATGGTATACTCTAGGCTCTGTGGAGGGTGACCTTTCCCAGTTTTTTCCTTTTGGGGGAAGTGAGGGCAGGAAAAAAAAATCGAGAAGCAGGGAAGAAATTAAGGAAGTCATTGCCAGATTCCTAGGGGGGGTATTGCCACTCTCCCCAATTCCTGAACCCCATCAGCCTGCATTCACCAGTTTTACAGGTCTTATAAACACCTTCCAGAAATTCAACCAAATCGTATAAATAGTCTTTCTTCAACCTCTACAGAATTGAGGATTTTAAAGCTAATTCAGGGGATTTTACAAGCCCAACAAATACAGTGGTAAAAATGCCATTGGAAAGATATCACATTTTACAAAACGAGATTGATCCATGTGCTGTAAAAGTCAACTATCTCCAAGGCACACCTCTCAGGGGAGAGACAGCAGCCCAGCACAGGCTTTTCATGTCCTGTCTGGGGAAGGCCAGGCCTCGGACCGCGGTAAAAGCAGTTCAGACGATTTCTGGAGCCGGTGAGACAACTGTTCCCGGTTTGGGCCGACCGCGGGTGGCAGGCAGCCGGAACGGTCCCAGGAAAGGCAAGAAAGAGGGCACATCCCAGGACAGTGCGTGCTGTCGGGCGCCCCGGAAACCCAGCACATCAATTATCCCGCAGCCTTGCGCCGGCCGAGTTGCCCTCTATGCCTGGCTGGACCAGGCACCCTGGGTCGCCCGCGCCTCTCGAATGAGGACAGAGCTTCCACAAGTGGATCTGTCTCAGCTCTGAGCTGTCCGGGTGACGGAGGGCGAGTCCCGGGGCGCTGGGTGAGGGGAGCAGGTTCCCGGCTGGCTTCGGAGTTAGTCTCACGGCCACTCCTCTGCAGGTCCCTTTCTCGTTCAAACCAGTAGTTTCTGGCCTCTCGGTTCCTGAGTTCAAAGACGGGGCGGGGGTGCACAGCTTGTGGGGGTGTTCTGAGGCCAGGCAGTCGCTGGCCATTGGCGGGGAGTCCACTGGGACTCAAAGGAGACATATCCTATTGTGGGCGGAGGGGGCCGGCGGGGAAGAGACTACGTTTGGCGACGTCCTGGTCAGCTCAAGGTGAGCCTTCCGCTCTCAGCGGCCAGGCCCAGGCCCTCGGTGGCAGTGGGAAAGGCGGGACAGAAGGGATGCACCGATTCCTAAGGCGCAGGAAGGCCTGGTTTCGCAGAGCCCCCTCTCCAGCTCCGGAACCCGCACCCACTGGTAGGGAATTGCGGGGGGAGGGGCAAACTCAGGGCCTGCCGGGAGGGAGGCCGGCGGGGAGCAAAGCCACCCTTGTCACCGCCCCTCCCGGCGCAGAGCTGTCAGGTTTCCTGTTTGGAGAGAAAAAAACAGCCAAAATCCAGCAAGGCAAAAAAGGAGGAGGAAAGAGCGGGCCTGGTGGGGCCTTTGCTGCGGCCCGGACGCTGGTGCCCCGACCCCGGCCCCGGCCGGAGCCGCGCGGCCCTGCCCGCCGGTGCCCGCCGCCGGCGTTCGGGAGGACAGCCGGGCCGGCTGGCTGTGCGCGCCCATTAATCTGCCGCGCGGGCGGCGGGCGGGCGGGCTGGGGGCTGTTTGTAACTTTGCTGCCTCGGTCGCCGCGGTCCCCGGGGAGCGGGCTCCGGCGCTCACTCCCATTGGCCGCCGCCGCGTCAGCTGGTGCGATTTGCTGCTGTCGCTTTTGGCGTTCGGCCATCCAGAAACAAACCAGTTCGATGACTACTAATAGTTATAGCCAGATGTACTAATACACAACAAATCACAGTCCTGCAGAGGGGCGCGCAAATGAGTTCCTATTTTGTGAATCCCACTTTCCCCGGGAGCCTGCCCAGCGGCCAGGACTCCTTCTTGGGCCAGCTGCCCCTCTACCCGGCCGGCTATGACGCGCTGAGGCCCTTCCCGGCCTCTTACGGGGCGTCGAGCCTCCCGGACAAGACATACACCTCACCTTGTTTCTACCAACAGTCCAACTCGGTCCTGGCCTGCAACCGGGCGTCCTACGAGTACGGGGCCTCGTGTTTCTATTCTGATAAGGACCTCAGTGGCGCCTCGCCCTCGGGCAGTGGCAAGCAGAGGGGCCCCGGGGACTACCTGCACTTTTCTCCCGAGCAGCAGTACAAACCCGACAGCGGCAGCGTGCCAGGCAAAGCCCTCCATGACGAAGGCACCGACCGGAAGTACACGAGCCCTGTTTACCCCTGGATGCAGCGGATGAACTCCTGCGCGGGTAAGGCATTTCCCTGCAGACCCCCCCCAAGAGAGTGGAGGGAGAGGGGGAAGGAGGCAGGGAAAGAAGGAAGGAAGGAAAAGACAGAAAGTAGAAAGAGGAAGTAGAAAACAGGAAAGAATGAACAAAGTTTCTTAGTTTTTTAAAGAAGGTTAAAAAAAAAAAACCATTCCCAATGAGGCAATCAAGCTGTGGCAGAGTAAAGGCAGGGCATTAGTGTCCATGTAAAGCGACACCTCAGGGGACCGTGGGAGGTCACTGCCACGCTATGTGAGACCCATGACAGGGGCAACCTGAAGAGAGAGCCAGGCTGGATGGGAGGGAGCGCCTGCCCACACCGCACCCTGGTAACATCCTGCTCAGATGTCCAAGCGAGATGGCCCTTCTGTAACCATCACTGGTAACACCCCTTCACTTCCAAACCCCCTCTCCTTTCTGCCCTTCAGAAACGCAGGTAGATAAAGGCCCTCATTTGGCCTCTTCCAGCGTCTCCCCAAAGCCTTGGAGGGCCACGTCCCCAGCCTCAGGATTTTTCTCTCTCTCCTCCCTCCCCTCCTCCCCCTTCCATTCAGCTGCTCACTCAGCCAACTTCTGCCTCCTTCTGAGGCCCTGCCTGAGTCTCACACATCCAGCTTGGGGGGAGCCCCCCACCCATGGACCCCTTTGGCACCAGAACAGATAGCCCATCACAGTCCTCCATTTCCAGAAACCTCGGATGGCCCATAGCTCCATCTCTTTGCCCCTGGTTTCCAAAAACTCGACAGGGAATCCTTGGAGCAGGACAGAATCTAATGTGGATTCTTAAACTTACAATGTTTTGCTTTAAAATCCACTTTTATTATTTTTTTAAAAGGAGCTCTGTGTTTCTCAGAAGGGCCATATAATTTGGGGGAGTTTGCAAAGATTCAAGAGGGCCGACCATTTTAAATTTTCCAAAAAGCATGTTGAGTCCTGACATGGCTGGCCACAGTAACATCTTTATGGAGATCCATGTGTGAATTCAATGTCTATTCTACTCACAGGGTTCCACACCCACCACTCCCAGACATACACACACTGCAGTCCCACAAAAACACGACTTAGGTACCCCGAATTAAGAATGATTCGTTCTATTCTTTTGCTTGTAGTAGTTTTCTTACAGAGCAGATTTTTCAAAAACAATAACTTCCCACCCCAACTCGTTTTAAGTGGAAAACGTCTCGACTGGTATGAAATAATTTTCTCCCATCCAGCCCGCTTTTGGCCCCAGATATAGTGGGGGAGGCTGAAGTAGAGGCGGGTGATTCCAGCCCAGAGGCCTGGGGCGCGGGGCACGGGGCTGACCGGTTGGGCTGCCCGGATGCTGGCTTATCCAGGCCGGCCATTTCTGCCCGCAGGTGCTGTGTACGGGAGTCACGGGCGCCGGGGCCGCCAGACCTACACGCGCTACCAGACGCTGGAGCTGGAGAAAGAGTTCCACTTCAATCGCTACCTGACGCGGCGCCGCCGCATCGAGATCGCCAACGCGCTCTGCCTCACCGAGCGCCAGATCAAGATCTGGTTCCAGAACCGCCGCATGAAATGGAAAAAGGAAAATAAACTCATCAATTCCACACAGCCCAGCGGGGAGGACGCTGAGGCAAAGGCGGGCGAGTAGACGCCTGGGCAGGGACCAGGCCAGCGCCGCAACGTCTCTCGGCTTTGCCCCTTGCCTTCGCCTGGTCCCCAACTTTTCTCGCCGCCTCCCATCGGGGAGCTTCCGCAGCTTCAGAGGAGCCCGGAGCTTTGCAAACGCCTGAGCATTTATTTCTTACAAATAATAATAATAATAAAAACCACACACAGCCAATCCCAGCGGTGGAGCGGGGCGCACTGCACGTGCAGTCCTGCTCTCCAAGGCTGCCCAAGCTGGCTCCGCATCCCAGGGCTCGCCCCGAATTCGTCCCCGGCTCTTGTGCTATCGCCTCTGCGCGCCCCTGAGCTCCCGACGCAGGGTTGCTGGAGAGGAAAGAACCCCGGGCTGAGCCCCTTTTGGTGTCTGGGCGTTTCCGCCTCGGTCCCTCGCCACCGAATCTCGGAGGACACCACCAAATCAACTCTGGCCACTGGAAAGAGGGGGCCTAAAGGCTGGGGCCCCAGCACTGCGGTGGCCTCCCAGGCCGCCCCCAGACAGGAAGAAGCGCAAGGAACAAAGGGGGCCCTGAGAGAGCCTGGTCTCTCGGCCCCGCGCGCAACCGTCCGTGGAAGAGAAGCAGCCTCAGCTGAGCTGAACCAACCTGGGCGCGGGTGGAACTTTACAGCCCCGGGAGCGACTGGGCTCCCGAAGGCTCTGGGCTTTGGATTCCGGCTCCCCGCCTCCGACAGTGCCGGTGCTGCCACCAGAGCAGCCTTCAGGACCAAAGGAGGCGGCCCAGGGCCATGGGAGCCGCAAAAGTCCTGGTTTCCAAATGTGCCAGGGGTGCCGGCGACGCCCGGCCTCCAGCGGGGAGACTCCCCCCATGCCTTTCGGCTGTATTTGTGGTTTGCTTTCGTCTTTCAGAACCCAGGAAAAGAACAACGGAGATACTAGGCACTGCCACGAAATGCTTGCATTAGCGCTCTCATTTTACTCCTGGAGGTCTAAGCGAGACCCGAATAACTCGGCCCACGGATTCCCAGCCCCCAAGCAGCTACTGTGGCTACGGGGAGCCTCGGCCCACTCGCTGGGTTCACTGAGAACCCTCCGATTTGGGGCCGGCTGGCTCAAGGGACCCTGTGTGAAGATTCTTCAGGCTGGATACTTCAAGCAAATCAAACAGCAAACTAATGACACGAAGACCATATTTACACGAAAGAAAAATCGACTTCGGTTATAAAAGTGTATGGAATTTGACCTCGCCTCGGAGAAACACTACACAAAAGCTATCTTTAATAGACGCTTGTCATTTAAGAGCGGCAGGGACACTGTCCCTCATGCGCTCGCAAAAACAGAGCCGTAATTGTAGCTACTGTTGCGGGCAGGATTTATTTCTCCAGTTGGCTAAATAGCCTCCCCCCTTCCCTGAAGGTGATATCTGTATTTTCAAATTTCAGAGCTGCCGGCACGACGGGCAGAACCGACCCCAACCTCGACACAAAAATAAGAGGGGCTGCACAGTGGGGAAATAAAGTTGTTGTAAATAAAATCCAAGTCACCATCTCCCCCCAATCCTCTGCATCCTCGCCGGGCACGCGATCGGCAGCTGACGGCCTCACAATTGGTACATCCTAATGGAACTGCGAGGGAAATGCAATAATTTTGCCATAATGGGCTGTAACCTCAATTCGACCCCGGCCCTTGCAGCCCTGGGTCGGAAGCGGAGCGATGCGCCCTGCCTCCAGCGGGTGGCGCTCGAGTCCGACTGAACGGCAGCAGCGGGCGGCGGGCACGCGCCTGGGGCGCGCGCGCCACCCCTCTCGCCTCCACCCAACTCCCCCATTAGTGCACGAGTTTACCTCTAGAGGTCATCAGGCAGGATTTACGACTGGACAACAAAAGCACGTGATTCGAAGTCGTACCCCATATTTGGGTGCCTACGTAGGAGGGAACCAAGTACATGTCCCAGTCATTTCCATAATTCATCATAAATTGTGCAAGGGTGCTATAGACGCACAAACGACCGCGAGCCACAAATCAAGCACACATATCAAAAAACAAATGAGCTCTTATTTTGTAAACTCATTTTGCGGTCGCTATCCAAATGGCCCGGACTACCAGTTGCATAATTATGGAGATCATAGTTCCGTGAGCGAGCAATTCAGGGACTCGGCGAGCATGCACTCCGGCAGGTACGGCTACGGCTACAATGGCATGGATCTCAGCGTCGGCCGCTCGGGCTCCGGCCACTTTGGCTCCGGGGAGCGCGCCCGCAGCTATGCGGCCGGCGCCAGCACGGCGCCCGCCGAGCCCAGGTACAGCCAGCCGGCCACGTCCACGCACTCGCCTCCGCCCGACCCGCTGCCCTGCTCCGCTGTGGCCCCCTCGCCCGGCAGCGACAGCCACCACGGCGGGAAAAACTCCCTGGGCAACTCCAGCGGCGCCTCGGCCAACGCCGGCAGCACCCACATCAGCAGCAGAGAGGGGGTTGGCACGGCGTCCGGAGCCGAGGAGGACGCCCCCGCCAGCAGCGAGCAGGCGAGCGCGCAGAGCGAGCCGAGCCCGGCGCCGCCCGCCCAACCCCAGATCTACCCCTGGATGCGCAAGCTGCACATAAGTCATGGTAAAGCCAGCCTTTTTCTAAATCCACGCGGCCGCGGGGGCGCGGCTCTCAGTCCTCCCTCTTTCCTTTACCGCCCTCTCTCCCCGTCTCTCTCCTCGTCTCGCCTCTCCCAGCCCTGTGGAGCCTCTCCCCGCCGTTCTCCTTCCCCTGCCTTCCTCCTTCCTCCTTCTCTTCTCCGCAGCGCCCAGCGCTCGCAAATGAGGGGGAAAGGGCCGCTGGCCAGGCAAGTTTAGACGTTGAAAGGCGGGGAAAGGAAAAACCCATATCGAACCCCAGCGCCTCGGAACGCGCTCCCGGGTCAGGCCAGCCAAGCAGGGCGCAGAGAGGTAGAGGATGGCAGTAGGGCTGTGAATCGGGCTTGTCAGGGTGGATAATTTATGAGGAGGGCTACGCTGGGGAAACAGCGTTACTAATTAGAGTCCCCGAAAAGGGGCTTGGGGGGGGAATAATGGAGACGAGAGTCGGCGGGATTCTGAAGTTTGGGGGCAGGAGGGAGAACAGAAAAGGAAAGGGAAGAAAAAGAAAGCAGGCGCCCCAAGCGTGCAGGCTGGAACAGGAGGCGGCTCGCGGGGCTGGAACTTTAAGGGAGGGTGACCTGAAGGCCACTTGGGCGCTCAGCAAGGGGCCTTGCTTTGGTGGGTGTCTGAGCGGTGGGCAGCCTGGGAGGGCGGTGCCCCCGCCTCGCCTCGGGGCTCCAGGGGCAGGGCCAGAGGGCAGGAGAGGGGTGAGGGAACGCCGGGCGAGCCTCCGGGACGCGGCTCCAGCCTCAGATGGGCCGATTGTTCCCTGAGTCCAAATCGTATTGTTTTCTCTCTAGAAAGGAAGAGGGAAGGAAATTCGGGAGGGGTGGGCAGGCGAGGAGGGAGGACTTGTTGAGCTTTTCTCCCCTGTTCTCTGCTCAGGACCCTGGCTCATCCTGCTGGCGGGCTTTAGTAGCCAGGGACTGAGGAGTTGGTGGCTAAACCGCTGACTTTTCTGTTGCAGACAACATAGGCGGCCCGGAAGGCAAAAGGGCCCGGACGGCCTACACGCGCTACCAGACCCTGGAGCTGGAGAAGGAGTTCCACTTCAATCGCTACCTGACCCGCCGAAGGAGGATTGAAATAGCACATGCTCTTTGCCTCTCCGAGAGACAAATTAAAATCTGGTTCCAAAACCGGAGAATGAAGTGGAAAAAAGATAATAAGCTGAAAAGCATGAGCATGGCGGCGGCTGGAGGGGCCTTCCGCCCCTGAGTATTTGAGCGTTTAAAGTACTGAGCAGTATTAGCGGACCCCGCGTAGTGTCAGTACTAAGGTGACTTTCTGAAACTCCCTTGTGTTCCTTCTGTGAAGAAGCCCTGTTCTCGTTGCCCTAATTCATCTTTTAATCATGAGCCTGTTTATTGCCATTATAGCGCCTGTATAAGTAGATCAGCTTTCTGTTCATCTCTTTGTCCTGAATGGCTTTGTCTTGAAAAAAAAAAATAGATGTTTTAACTTATTTATATGAAGCAAGCTGTGTTACTTGAAGTAACTATAACAAAAAAGAAAAGGGAAAAAAAACACACAAAAAGTCCCCCTTTGACCTTGTTAGTGCCAATGTCGTGTGTTGCACTCCAGTTGTTTAACTGTGCATGTGAGTGGAAGTGTTCCTGTCTCAGTAGCTCCAAGCTGTTAAAGATATTTTTATTCAAACTACCTATATTCCTTGTGTAATTAATGCTGTTGTAGAGGTGACTTGATGAGACACAACTTAACTTGTTCGACATGTAGTGACTAGTGACTCTGTGACGAAAACTGTGACTCTGAGCGGTGTGTCCCTGCGTGCCTTTGTAGGACCCTTTGCACGAACTCTGGAAGTGGCTCTTATAAGCGCAGCTTCAGTGATGTATGTTTTTGTGAACAAAGTTACAAATATTGTCCAAGTCTGGCTGTTTAAGCAAACTGTGATCAGCTTTTTTTTTTTTTTTTTTTTGTATTTGTTTTTAAGGAAAAAATACTGACTGGAAACAAAAAATAAACTTTCTATTGTAAGTTCTCTTGGTCTGGTTTGTGCCAAATAGCAAGCGGCTCTTTCTGCTCTTCTGTCTGTCTGTCCAGTGTGGAAGGCTGTGAGTCTGAGGCTACCTGAGCAGCCTGCCTGTGCAAGGCGCCCTCAGACCGACACCCTGATCCGCGGCCTCCCTAACTCTGACCCATCAGAGAGTTCAGGGCAGAAGGTGGAAAAGCTGGAGGTGGTGGCAAAGCCTGAGTCCAGCCTGCCCATCTCTGAGGAAACCAAATTAACTTGCTGGGTACAAAAAAGAGAAAGAGAGAGAAAGGAGCAAAAGCCCAGGGCTTTGTTAGCCACCCTCGGGCCCGCACAGATGCTGCCTCTTTCCTAAGGCCATCCTAGGCCTCCACTTGGTGAAGAGGCTGCTGTGCCAAGTTGTGGCCCCCAAACCCCCTGCCCCTGACCCACCCAGACACCCCTTTCCACTCCTCGCCCTGGACCCAGTTGGCGTCTTTTGCTACAATTAATTTGCTGCAAATGGAAGGTACTTACCCCATCCTAGCTCGATTGAGAAACTCCTCAGAGCAGCTAAAGCGCAACTAGAGATTTGCACATTTACCGACTGCTTACTCTGATGCCGTCTTTCCTTTTAAAAGTTATAAAACAGTAAACTTTATAAGCCCCAGTTCCGGCTATATGACATTTGGGTGCCAAATGAATAGGGTTTTGTCTATGAATTAGATCGTAAAATCATCCATAGCACAGACAGATCGGCTCACTGGCTATAAAACGTCACGTGGGGCCATTAAAGTAAGTTTTATGGTTTTGGGGAGTTGACATCCAACATTATATACCACATAACATATAATCTCACTGACGCTGGACTCCATTTGACTCTTTTGCAGGCTACGTGTGCCGCCTGGTCATTCAAATTGTCAATTTTAGGTCCAGAAGTGTCCAAACTACAAGTTCTCAAAACTCTCTGAAAAATGGCTCCCTCCGAGTTAAGGTAAGCTCGCCTCCTGAGCGCTTTCAACTTTATTTGTACTCTGAAAACTTTCTTCCTCGACCTTTCTCTCTTTCTCTTTCTGTCTCTGGTTCAATACCTCTGTGGTCGCCTCTGAATTCTAAAGGGGAGAGCAAACTTTCCCCCTGCCCAAAGGAGCAGCGCCAGGAGCCAGCCCTACGGAGGCACCACGGGGAAAAGCGCCTGTGGCCGCGCCGCATCCCCAGGCCCAACTTTAATTGCTGCACAACCGCGGATGTTAATGACTTCCGCTGCTCTCGCAGGCGCGCAAAAAGATGATTTTTGTGTGCGAATGGGCCTGTGTGTGCAGCCCTAGCAGGGCCGCCTCCCATTGGGGCCTGGCGGGGCAGGGCTCCTGGGGGCAGCGGAGCCCTAGGGTGGGGGCTGGGAGACAGCGGGGCGCCGGCCGCGGGCGGGCGCCGAGGGCCGCGCTGCGCCGGGAGTGCTTGGGCGTTGGAAAGAAAGGCCGGGCAGGGGCGAGGCGGACTCTGGCGGGATTCCTTACGGGGCTGTGGCAATGTGTCTTCGCGGGCCGGGGTCATTTGGCAGCCCTGAATTGAGGCGGCTGCCTTCGGGGACGATTTCAGGCTGGCTGGTGAGAGCCCGGAGGGTGGCAGAGGCCGGCGAGGCGCGGGCTGCACCTCAGGCTGGGCCCCTGGGTTACGAGGCCGAGCCCAGGGCACTAGCGCCCACGGGACGCTGGGCACCGCGGGTCGCCACCTGGGGGGAGGGCGCAGCAGCCCCTGCCCCGCACCGGGACCAGGCCCTGAACCTTGTTTGCCTGTACGTTCTTTTTATTTTGGTGGGACTGTTCTCACCCGCCTGTGAGTCTGAAGCAATAAACTTTATGGCCGGATTTAACTTAAGTCTTTGAATCTCCAGGCTAAATGAAAGGAGTTAAAGCGCCTTCTTTTCTTCGCCTTGCCTTTCTTCTCCCTCTCTTCTTTCCTTTCCTCTCCTCCTTTGTAGAATTAAAACATCTAGTAGGCACAGGACCCTCAAAAGGCAACTTAGGCATCCCCCTGGATAACACGGAAGATTAGAGAAATTTACTCCCCAGCAACATGCAGGCAAATTCTCTCTCCCAAACTGTGTCCTAAAGTTTGGGGGGAAATCGAGGTGTCTTCAATGCCCAACTTAAAAGTCCCCAGAGCCATTAGGTTGTTTTTCCTGACACGTCATAAAGGGTAGTATAGGGAAGAAACTGGTTGTTTGTCAGTAGGAGATTTCCGCCGTTCTTTTGTTAGCTGCTCTTTCTGTTTGATCCCAGGAAATTTACATAATCTATGATTTCCAAAACAGTCCCCATTATTGCACCAACGGGTGAAGTAAGGTGAAATAAATTTTTCCTGGGTACAATTCCAGCTTGGCCTCAGCTACCCACTCTGGCCCCAACCCCCCCACATTCTTCAGTGGCAAAGCCATGACTGGGGATTGCTGGGGTCTTTCTCTGGATGGGTACCCACAAGGGACCTCGCAGATTTCCCCGTATTCCTTCTGAAGAATTAAGCCATATTCTCCAAGTCAGAAATGAAACAAAAAATGGGATCTTCTGTCCCCAACTGCTTTTCTCCTTAGAGGCTGGGTAGTTTTCTGCAAGTGCTAATTGATAAAGATATTTACTAAGTGCTTAAAGTGAAAAAATTTAAAGTATAGATTTGGAATTTCAACAAACTTTATTGTGCAGAGACCACTTTCGCTCAACATAAGTCCAACAGATGTCCCCAAAGTCAGAGGTCCGAAAAGCAAAACCTGGGAAGTTTTTAAAAAAAAAATTGAAACCATCCCACAAGTCCAGCTTCTCTTGAGTAGTGGCAAGGTGAATGCCTGAAGTCATTTTGGGTAACCTGGTAAAGCGAGCATTGATGTCTCAGCACTCAGGAAGATGGGTCTGCATCTCAGGGGGAGCCAGAATGTAAACTCTATTTGGGTTCTCTTTTATTATGTCTCTCTGAGAACTCTGCAGTCTTTGTTTTACTGCTCTCAGTTTTGAGTTCTTTATTGGAAAATATTGGGTTAAGATTTTATTTTAGTTACTCATTTGGTGATCTTGCTTGAGTGATTTCTTGGTGACTAAAAGTAGTAGCAGAAAAAAAGAGTGATAGGGCTGCTGGCAGGTTCATTTGAGTAACTTCCCTGGAGGAAGCGTCCACACCATCTCTGTGTCCACATCCCACCCTGGGGTGTGGGAATGGCAGAAAGGCTGTTGGACTGATATCCAGCATCACACAATCTACAGAATCTTTCTCATGAATTGCAAAAATTACAGGCTATAAATATTGTCAGCCTGCTTATTTCTGTCTGTTGTAATCTTCAGAAAACTTTAGAGTTTAAGACAGCAGGCCAACTCACAAGGAGTTAAATGACCTTTAAAAAAAGTACAGCCTCCAGTCAGACTTATGGGAGCATTATTGGAGGATTTTTTTTCTTTCTTCCTATTTTCATAGGAAGCATAGTAAAGAGGATGGCTGGCTATCTGCCCATTTTGTAGATAAATTATTTCTTCTTGTGCATCCTTGGGGTTATTTTTGCAGAAGAACTTACTTAGAAAAAAATCTCTGTCATTGGGGGTTTTATGAAGACATCCAGCCTCAGCCAGTGGCAGAAGTGTCTGTCTGTGCTCCTCGTCTTGTAAAAGGAGAAGGCGTCTGAAATGTTCAGGGCCCCGTGTTTCTACAAGCTACAGAGACAATATTTCCTGAACTATAAATATAATAGGAAGCTTCTGGTCACACTTACTTAGGGGTTTGTTAGGGTTTCCATGGTCTAATTTCACAACATTATGCCAAGATTCCTTTTCTCCTGCTCTTTCCCCTGCTTCATTGTTGGCGGCTCTGGGAGAGCAAGACAGAATTTTCTACAAAAAATGGAGTCATGTTCATTTGTTGAGATGTGAAGAGTATTATATCCAAACAATTAGTGAGAGGAGAGCAAATTACATCCCGAAAGATGGGCTATTAAAAAGGAAAACAATCCTTTTAGCTTAAAAGATGCCCTTCGAAGCCTCTCGGGCCTTAGCTGGGCAGTCTGTCTGAGGTTTGCCCATCATGGAGACTGCAGAACATTGTGGGCTCCATCCCTTTGGCTTCCAAGGCAGAATTTCTTTCTAGTCAATGACAGAACTATAAACGAGGCTTCCAGATGGGACTGAGGGGGTCAGCCTAGGCTCCCACCCACACAGGAGAGGGGAGCCACAGTCCCAGGCATTTGAAAACCCCAGAACTGGAAGATTTGCCTAGGTCTCTTTTGTTTGGTGTTTTTCACAAAGAAATCTGTTCTTCTCCCACCAGGTCCCCTCCCCACAAACCAGTCTTTTCAATAATAATATTTGTTATGAAGGTTATTGGGTAATTATTGCGATTTTGTGAAGCAGCCCTTGCTGGAGGTGAAGTCTGTCATCGCCTAACAAATGATGCCCGCGCAGTTCACTGCCGGGTTAAGTAAATGCAGAGAAGATAAATCTGCACACCCTAGGAATCGCCAGCAGAGCACGCTTTAGTACAAGTTCACAGTCAACTCGCCTGCCTGGGCCAGCTCTCCCAACAATTAGGGCTGCATCTTTATTTTTAAATAAAGAAAAAAAAATGTCTCCAACTCCCATTGCCTGCTTCCTCCCCATCTTGTTCCTTTCACTTTTTTCGAGGTTCCCCGTCCTACTCCAAATTTTCCTTGTAAATGTAATGATGAGTAATTTCAAAATAATCTCATTTCTATTTAAGTGCTGACAAAAAGAGGTAGGAGGCTGATTTGACAGGAAATACAGTCAGAAACACACAAAAATATCCAATTCACCCTTTTATTCCAAAAGGCCATGGCAGAAGCAGAGCATCCCTGAGATCCTGGGGCGGGGGTGGGGGGGGGTGGCTTCCCCCTGAAAGAAGAAGCGCAGCTTTGTGTATTTTTGTGGTTAGTGCGTTACAACTGCAGGTCAAAAAGTTGAGGGTCAAAAGTTTACGTTGTGCAGCACTCTTAGCCATCTGCCCAGACAGAGTTTGATGTCAATGTTAGAGCTGCGATCTTGACTATCAGCACAAAAGATAAAATGGCTCGAAGTGACGCGTGTATCACGGTATGGACTCCAGGTGAACCCTAGTGGTTGAATGACCTCAATTACGGAGGAAAGGATAGAAAATTCCTCTTTTCAAGAGTAATACATGCTGTATTTCATCTTGAATTATCGCTCCCATTCTGAGGGAATAGCAGCAGGTAAATAGGCATAGATTACTGAAACACCAACACCTTAGATGTTGGAGAGCCAGGAGTTTGTTTGGGGGTTTGTCATGAAATAAAAAAGCTCAAAACTCATCAGTAGACTTTTAAGAAATAATGCAGCAAGTTTCCAATGTTCCATCATACCTTCAAAGGCAAGAGAATGGGGCAGGAAACGTCCTTTATTTGAAGCCGGTGATTGTGATTGGCCAGGTTTTTTTTCTTTTTAGTACATATAATGATCCCCAAAGTGTGTGAGAACAAGGGCAAACACAGGCACTTCTTGCAAAATGTATTCTTAGCAATTTTCAAACACAGAATGCTTTGGAACTGCCACCCACTAAACTCAAAGGGTTCTTATTGCTGGGAAGGGGAGGGAAGGAAATGAAAACCTTCCAGAAGAGACAGGATTCCTCCACCCCTCCACCAGTGAGAAAGTGCTTGTTGGTTCCACGAAAATGTTCCTGTTGTTGGAAATTTTTCATTATATTTGTTGTTAAACCTAAACTGAATGTAAGAGAAATGCTACAATCTATAATTGAATAACTAAACTGTAAAGAATATGGCATTTGAGCAGGAAGGTGGAATCCACAAATGCCTTCCTTCCTAAGACAACCCATGACAGACTTCTATTCTCCGGAAAGTAATCTTTAAAAATACATTGGGAATAAAAGCTAAGGAGAGGGGAAGCAAGCTAAGGAGGAAGAGTGGGAGAGTAGAAAAGAAAGGGGATAGTGTCTTAAGGAAGCGACTGGAACCATGTCTCTTGTGTGAGTTGCAACTGGAGAGCTAAACAATATTTTATTTGTCATGCACCTATATTAGCTGTAAGTGCTGGTGCCATTAGAATCTATTTTCTGGGGGACATATTTTCCTTTTCTATGTATTGATCTTCAGGTAATTGATCTTCAAGTAATCAGTGTACTAAAATAGAAGAGAAAGATGAAAATTGTTTTCCTAGACTTTTCTTTTCAACTTTAGACATAAGCTAATTCAACTACTCAGAATGTAGACTCTTGCAGGGATGTGTAAGATCATCCCAATATGTTCCAGTTGATTGGATTTGCTGGTGCCAGGTACATCCAGTAGTAAAGTAAATATTTCCCAAACACCGCTTTCATGGAAGTAGTCAGATTGCTTCCACTGTGCAATGTGTAAAGTTTTCATGCCAGTCGAGAGCTTGAAGCCAAATGGGAGTGTGCCAGATGAAAATAGAAGACAGGGAACAACTGTGGTGACTGCTGCTGCAGCAGTGAACACTTCACCACATCTGGGCTATGGAAATGAAGAAAACTGAAACCCCTCTATTACTCACCGAGACAATTAAGCGTCTCTTTGAGAAAACCTCGTTATTGTATTATTGGTTAAAAAGGTGCCACAACTTAGCAACATGTCAGCTTCAATAATCATAGATACATCTTAACCAGTTTTTAAAGTAAAAGAAAAAGGTATCTGCAGAAGTTAGTTGCTTTAGAGTGCTTACTTTTTTATTTGGAGGATTTTGATTTTTAGGACTCTCACACAGTCCTGGTTAAAATTCATGTATAATCCGAACATGAATTTCTCTTCTTATGCCTGGGTCGTGTACATTGTTCTAAACTACTGCAAGGAAACAACCCCCAATTAATTGGTCAAATGGCTGATAAACTACTGCTTCTCTAAAAATCATATGCCTAGCGTAGGTGGGGGGAAGCCCTCAAATGCGACCATCAGGCATTTTGAAATTCAGCCATTCCCGTGTGCGCTCCAGAGACGTGCTTCAGATAGAGAACAGTCAGTCTGGGGGACTCTCGCTCTAAAGAACAAAGGACAAATACAGTCAATACATTCCATAACGTTTACATTTCCTTTGCTTTTCCCTCCTTGGTTTTCCCTGAGAAGGAGTGACCTGGGCAAAGCACCCTGCTCTCTAAAAGACACTGTATAGACCTTTTAGAAGCACAAAGTCCAAGGCCGAGGTGAACTTCAGGTCAGCGCGTCTAACAAATATGAAAATGTCGGCTGGTGAAGGGCGAGCCTTGTGATTTAACAAAGACTGTCAATGTGTAAGATTAATAAGAAACAAAATGCACACGGTGTCACTGTTCGGTCACTTTGAAACTTGGGACAGGGTTGCATTCAAGAGGGAAGGCTGTTCCAAATATATTCAAAATGATTCAAATCAGATTCAAACTAGGCTGCAAATACTGCCTCCCTCTCGCCCTCCCTCTTCCTTGGACTCCCTTCGCTCTCCTTCTCCATCTGGGATTCGAGGACATGATGAAAAGTTATTTCACTTAATGGGATTTTAAGAAAGCTTTTGTTGGGAATATATGTTATCCCTGCACGTGGAAATGAGCAAATGTGCTTACCAGTTTCCCAAGAAAAGGATAACGCTTTCACCCTGCTTGGGACTGGAGCCAGTTGGTGTGCGAAGATTAGCACGCTCCCTCTCTGCTCGATTTCAGAGCATCCCATCTTTTCTCGGGCGAGATGCTGCTGGTAAACTTGTTTATTTATTAATTGAGTTAGTTTCTTCCTGGCTTTACTTTGGTGTCTTGAATCTTATGTGAAGGCAAGAGTTTGGTGTTTTTTTAAAAATGTTTTTCAAAAGATTATTTGATTCAATGGAATGATGCTACGGCTTGTAAAGAGAGATTGTGGAAGGATCAGAAAAGGTACTGAGATTGTTTATTACAGCCATAAATCTTGCAGTAAAATGTCAAAATGTCGGTGTGTGAGATAACACTTGGTGGTCCTGGCTCCATTTGTGTTTATGATACGAACCACAAAGACAAGTTACAGGCCATGGGGGATTCTGTGTAAGCCCATCTTCCTAAAGTAATAGAACCACATGAAACACAGGCACAGTTAACTCGTTTAGGTTAACCATATACAAAACAGCGCCCGTGCCTTGTTAATACTTTAAAATAGAAACTCAGTAGAAGGTTCTGAGGCTAAACAACTTGAATTTTGTGTTTTAGTGTCTGTAAATAATATTAAACAGATATGGGTAGGACCCTAGTGCTGAAGGCTGATGACATGAGGAGGAGGGTAAAATTTCCTTGTCATGTTTTTTCTCCCTCTGAAGCTTAGAGAGCTCTGTTTCGCAAATTACATTATGTATGTATATATTATTTGTATTATATAGTATTTATGTATATATTATTTTGTCTTGCTGTAGAGAGATATGGGTTTGGGCAGCTATATCACAGGCTAGATTCTTCCCCGAGTCTAGAGAGGGGGGCTCTAAAGATTACACTCAGGGTTGATTTCTGTCTGTGGCTCAGATTTCATTAAAAAAAATTTTCAGGGTGCCCCACATGGATGGACAGCACTCTTCACAGACACACATCCAATGTGAAAAACCTCTTTGTACCACTTCAGGGTGATTCCAGTTAGAAAGCTAACATGATCCCTTTTTTAACCTCTTTTCCTAAATTAGTTTAAAGATTAGTCCCATATAATAGGCTTTATGTGGCTAAGCATTAAATGACTATCCATCAAATGGATATATTCCAGCATTTAGTAACTCATATGAGTAACCGATATAAATGAAGATAGAATTGACATTCCTTTTGAAGTGTCTCCAGGCTTAGGCTATAACTTTCCTTGTCTGCGTTCCAGACTCAGTTGTGAGAAGGCTGTTTATACTGTTCTTTGAAAAATCAACTAAGGTACACCAGCTGAAATATCCTTGCTTTTCATGCCAATATGAAACTATTTTTAGAATGGTAACTATGCTAGTTTGCACTGCTTTAATCTACGCTGAAAAGTAGAGGATCTAGGTGTGTCTCTCAGAAAAGGAAAGAGAAAGTACACACTACGAGCAAGGCATCAGTATTTACTTCAGAGATCAACATTAGGTGGAATTAATATGTAATTTATTTGTTAATAATGGCATAATTAGTTTACCCATCAAATTTCAATTACTAAATGGCAGGCAACAGTCCTCTCTCCCCCCCTTCCAGAGCTAGTGATATCGTTAATATGCTAATTTTCAGCAATTCAGAAATTATAGACTGGCCTGTAAATAAAAGTTTAGCAGATACAGCCTGAGAAAGCAGCATCCAAAAGACAGAACATAAAATTCTTAGCGGATAAAGACTCGTCGTTGGCGATCAGCTGGGGACACTCCCTATCCTATCCTTAGCTTGTTTTTGTTTGCGGATTGTTCCAAAATAGGAAGTTGCTGATTTCAAAGCTCGATTTTGTGGAGGGGTCGCTTCTATCCATTCTCATCCTTGTGCCACCTTCTCTCTCACAATCGCATCTAGTAAACGCGAGCATGTTTAACTCTCACTTCACCACTTTCATCAAATAAGTGACTATTAGGAAAGTTCTGATTTTTCTTAGGGAAAAAACCAAATGGATTCTGTCTCTAACAGAAAGAAAAAATAAAAAGTGCCCATCTGGTTATACTGGAATGGACTCACTTTACATCCTTGGCCCGATACCTCTCAGCTGCTCACCCACCCACCCCTTGCGGCTCCTGCCTGGCTTCTCAAAGCAGGGCATCTCGGGCGCGGACGCGGTGAGTGCGATATAGGGAAGGGGATCAGCTGGTGAGAAAACCCTTCTGTTGGCCTCATTCGTTTTCTTCCGGGGCCAGGATTAAAGCCAGGATACCTCCTTGGTCCTGACGCCATTCCCTCCCCCAGGCGGCCTCGAACCCTGGAGGACGCCAGGCCAGGCTAGGCTGGGCCCGAGGTCAGCGCCCGGCCGCGGCCACCCGGCTGCCCCGAGGCCTGGACCATGAGTGGGGCACGCGCAGGGCCAGGCCTGGGTGTCCGTGAACACTAGAAGGCTGGCTGGCCCCGAATTCCCAGCGGGACTCAAAGTTGGGGGGTTGGGGGACCAAAGCGCCAGCTCCCTCCCTCCGCCCAGAGCCGGACAGGAGCATCCATCACCCACCGGCGCGCTTCCTGATCCGGGTTCGCGCGGGCAGCACACCCATTGGCAGGACTGGGTCACGTGGGGGCTACTGGGCGGGGCGCGCGCGGGGCGGAGAAGAAACGCAAGCTCGCGCGCGCGAGTGGGCGGGGGAGGAGCGGCGCGAACTTTGGTGGCGTTGGCGGCTGCGGAGGGAGAGGGAGGGGGAGAGAGAAGGGGAGGGGGAGGGGTGGGCGCTTGACAGCGGGGGAGGGGAAGGGAGGAGAGGAAAGGGGGGATGGGAAGCGAGACAGGAGGGGGAGGGGCCTCGGCGAGCCCAGAAAAACGACAACGCGAGAAAAATTAGTATTTTTGCACTTCACAAATTAATGACCATGAGCTCGTTTTTGATAAACTCCAACTACATCGAGCCCAAGTTCCCTCCCTTCGAGGAGTACGCGCAGCACAGCGGCCCGGGCGGCGGAGACGGCGGCCCGGGCGGGGGCCCCGGCTACCAGCAGCCCCCAGCGCCCGCGGCCCAGCACCTGCCATCGCAGCAGCCCCAGCTCCCCCACGCGGGCGGCAGCCGCGAGCCCCCCGCCTCCTACTACGCGCCGCGGGCTGCCCGCGAGCCCTCCTACCCCGCGGCCGCGCTCTACCCCGCGCACGGGGCCGCCGACGCCGCCTACCCCTATGGCTACCGCGGCGGCGCCAGCCCGGGGCAGCCGCCGCAGCCCGAGCAGCCCCCGGCGCACGCCAAGGGTCCCGCGCACGGCCTGCACTCGAGCCATGTTCTGCCGGCCGGGCGGCAGCCCCCGCCGCCGCCGCCGCCTCCCCCGCAGCATCGCGCGGCGCCCCCCGCGCCCCCGCGGCGCTGCGAGGCGGCTCCGGCCACCCCGGGCGTCCCGGCAAGGGGCAGCGCCCCCGCGTGCCCGCTGCTCCTGGCCGACAAGAGCCCGCCTGGCCTGAAGGGCAAGGAGCCCGTGGTGTACCCCTGGATGAAGAAGATCCATGTCAGCGCCGGTACGTGGCGCCGCTGGGGAGGCGCGAAAGGGTGTGCTGGGGCCAGGGCGGGGGTCAGGAGGCGAGGCAGAGGGGAAGGGGGCCTCGGGAGGGGAGCCCCCATCTGGCCCAAGCTACAGTGAGATGCGGGTGTGTGCGCGCCAGCCAGCCGCCTGATCCCAACGTGAGAACCCTTTTGTACCCGGGGTCCCTTTATCGGGAGATTTACGAGACGCCAAACTGTTAGGGCAGTAATTATAGCCCCCATAAATTTAATTGCCCTGGCAGAGGCTTCAGGCCATGTGTCTTTGAAGCTTTTCTTCAGCCCCAATGCCCAGCACCATTCTTTATGGCTCTCGGGTGTTTCCCGTTGTCAATAGCCTGTGAAACATTTTCTTTGCCGTTTTATGTATCTTGCGTGAACTTGGTGTCAGGTTATTATATAATGATGATGTCCAATTGCTCTTCCCCACCCCACCTTCTCTCTCCTCCTCCTTTCCCGCTCTTCCACTCCCTCCTCCTTGGCTTTCTCCTTCGGGGTTATGGGCTTTCAGTCAACCCCAGTTATAACGGAGGGGAGCCCAAGCGCTCTCGAACCGCCTACACCCGACAGCAGGTCTTGGAGCTGGAGAAGGAGTTCCATTTTAACCGCTACCTGACCCGGCGGCGCCGCATCGAGATCGCCCACACGCTCTGCTTGTCGGAGCGCCAGGTCAAGATCTGGTTTCAGAACCGGAGGATGAAGTGGAAGAAAGATCACAAACTGCCCAACACTAAGATGCGATCCTCCAACTCGGCCTCGGCCTCAGCAGGCCCGCCAGGGAAAGCACAAACTCAGAGCCCGCACCCGCATCCCCACTCCCACCAGGGCGCCTCCACACCCATTCCCTCCTCCATATAATCTTCTGGAGATCTGGATCAGTTTCTTTCCCCCACCTGCTTTTCTCTCTTCTCCCCCTTTCCCCATCCACCCCTCCCCATCTGGACCATAACAGACCCCAAAACAAAACCCAACTTGGTGAAAAGGATAATAGAAAAGAAGACATTATCCTGGTAAGAGTTTACTGGTTGCCATCCAAGAGAGGACAATAGCCAGGATGCTGGCTGGTGGAACAACCTGCTGGCCTGAACAAGGCTGCCAGGATTGGGTACCTGAGAAGGACCACTTGGCATCAGATACTTTTGAGATGGCTAAAGTCAGCTAGACAGCCCAAGCTGACTGGGGACATGTACATGTATATTTGTTGCAAGCAGAAGAAAACAGACCTCTTTCCCTCATTCCTTACCTCCCCCTCCCTCGTTAAGGCAGCTCATACAAGCTTGCATTGAACTGAATAAATGAGTAGACATTGTGGACCTCACAAGATTATTTAATTCTGAAAATGTATAGACTTTGATGGTAAATGTGACATATGTTAGTTTCCCTTCTTTGCATTTATTTAAAATATTGTAGAGATATTGTTGTCTTATTCTGAGGCACAATCTCCGGGGAGAGGGGAGTGCGTTTAGACCCATGTGCAACTGTACAAATTGTGTTGTGGCTATATAGAAAGCCATGTGCTAAGAATAAACTGTTTTAAAGTTCTAAGACATATTTGTGTGTTTCTACTTTAAATTAAAAAAACACAAGTTCTTTGGCTTGAGATGCTTGACCTCGGATATAAAAATCTTGTAGATGGCTTGAGTTGTATTCACTTAGATTCTGAATAGTCACGTCATTTGCGTGAGTGTGTTCAACTTGAGCTGAACTCTTGTCAGGTTTGACCCACTGTGGGAAAAGTTCCAAAGAGCATGAAGGCTCTTGAGCTCTGAGAGGGCTCCTCTGCTTCCCAAACTTGGCCAGGCTTTTGGGCTTCCAGTCTCTGTAAGGCATAGAAACGTGTCCTTCCCTGCAATGAAAGGTGAAACCGTGCAGTGCTTTGGGCCCAGGAGTTTCTGCAGCTGTTCTACATGCTGAACTCTGAGCACACTTGGAAAGAAGTGGTCCCTGTGGTATTTATTGCACCTTCACACTTAATCTGCCTGTTTCCCTGGAGATAAAAAATAGTTTGTGCAAAGGGTTGAGATTGCTTTTTCTTTCTTGCTGTTTTTAAGATTCTCTTCACTAACTACAGCTTGGGAATTTTTATTTGTTTGCTTGTTTGTTTCTTTTCTTTCTTCCTTTTTTCTTTGTTGAAGCAAGAGCTTTCAAGATAAACTGAATTTTCCCAGTACACCCTCCAAAGTTTATTCTGAGGGGAGGAAAAAAAAATCATAATGACATTTTACAATGCACCCCAAGCAAGGTAGACCTCAGAGTATTAAGTCCTGGAAGAAAGCCAAACTCTGAACCAGGGTCACTTTCCTCAAATGCTCCTGGATCTTTCTGCCTAACCTAGAGATCTAGAGTCAAAAGTTTGAAAATCAAAACCTACCTCTCAATCTCTATAACCCTAGTATTTGTCTACTGATTTACAAATCAGCAGAGAGGACTTAGACTTGGTTGTCACTGAAAGGAGTACTCTGCAACAAGAGACAGAAAACCAACACACACTAGCCCCAGAATATTAGAATGGTCACCTGGCCTTGACTGAGTGCGATTTTTAGTTCATGTAGTAGTAATTTTAGCAGAGATGGGAGGGGGTGGCACTCACCTACCTCTGCAATATCAGAGGAATTTTAAACACATTTTTCCATCAGTGGCCAGTGCTCAGCCAGTGGTCAGTCCTGTTATTCCTTTAGCCTCTGCTGCCCGGTGTGTGATACAGGGTGGGCGATCAGCTCTTTACCTGTGAACAAACCAGATCTGAGAGGAAAGTGAAGGACACTAATCTCGGAGGGGCCTCCACCTCTCCCCAAGAAAATTCAGGGACAAACAAATACGTGCCTTCCGGAATCAGGCCAAACCCGGCCTAAAGTGCATTTTATAAGGTGTGAACGGGGGGCCAGGGATTTCTAGAGGCACTGCAACTGCTGCCGAAACTTATTAACTCTCCCCTACTACACGCACTTGCAAAACGAAATTAAATCACGCTGAAAATAGCAATTTTCCCAGGAATCATTAATCACCTCATACAATAAATACTTCTTTGTAATTCAACAGCAATTCTGAAAGGCATTCTCTGGGAAAAGTCTGTGGAGAAGCGAGGGATCTTCTTGCAAATAATATGGTCTCAGGCAAAGACACAGCATCTTGGCTGTCTGCTCAAAAAATGCCTAGACTCATGGTGGAAATTGAGTGTCGAGCTGCAAAACCTCAAATGGCAGATAATCATCATTTAAGGTAAATTCTCGTATTTCTCCTTTGTAGTGAAGGAGGGGTATGGGGGCCTTCATTAGCTTCATACTTGAGGCAGTTATGGGGATCAAGGGGGTAACTTTCTTTCACTCACTCACATAGTCTATCCAGGAAAGGAAGAGAGGATGGAGATTGTTTTTCTAATATTCCAGGACAAAACGGCATTTTTGCCCAAATTGTCTTGATTATTAAAGTATTGCTAAGTTTTACAAAGCCAAAGTGATACAGAATGATCCGAATGATCATGTCATTTCTTCACAGTGTTTTGCCTGTTTCAGTTGTGGGTTTTTAAGGGAGCTTGTTATAACAGCTTAGAAAATCCCACTTCGTGCTTTAAAATCAAGCATTGTCTGTGCTTTGCTAGGGCAACCATAAGAGTTCACCCAGAGGACAAATTTTCTATCTCATTAATTGTTTTTTTTTTTAAGCAAACCCTACTGGCCCCTCAAACCCTTGACCTTTAAAGACAGTATTTTGTGTAAGCTCTATAATTCTCCTACCCAAGTGACCCTTACACATGCTCTCCTCTTCTTTCTCTCTTTCTCCTTCATTCCCTCTAACACACACTCATCTGCTTTAGTCACAGAGCCAAGCTGTGCATGACTCTGGAGATAAAAGTTTTGTCAACATCTGAAATCAACCTAAATCGGATCGGAGACACTTTAATGGTCACAGTTTGAATTAGGTACTTAACACTCTCCCCCCTGAAGAAAAATGGCACTTTGCAGGCTCTCTTTCCTAGTTTTGCTGAAATCTACGATATACCCAGTGTTTTATTACAGCGGGAATTCAACTGTGACAGGCATAGTAGAGTACTTAATACCCAGGATGGAGCTCACGGGAAGATTACCTAGATATATGGGGAGCAGGCCCTCCGCCCTGCATCTCTCTGACTTTATACCCAGCTGTCCCAGGGTGCCCACATTCCCCCCCACCTCGAGGCCTCCTCCCCATGGGGTGGGTATTGCCATCTCTCCTCTATCCCCCTGCTCCCCTAAGCTTCCAAACTGTTCTGCTCTTCTCACTGCTGGCTTCCCTCCAGCAGTTTCAACATAGAAACAGATCAGTGACTCTTTAGAATGGAAGGAAAGAAAACCCCCAAAGAGTCAATGTAGCAAACAGAAACCTGGGGCTTCCCATCTGAATGAGTGGGCTCTGTGCAGCAATAGTCTGTTCTCGGCACTCCTTTGGTCTCTGCAGCGCTAGCTGTGGTCCTGTATTCAAGAACACAGGCTCACCCTTCCCAACTACTGCTCTTGTTGCCCCTTCTCTATATTATACACTGGCCCAAGAATAACTCTGCTTCCTCTTTCAAAGAGTATGGGTTGGGAAAAATAAGAGGAGGAAGAGAGCGAGTTTTAGCTCCTTAATAGTGTCAGGGAGCCTGCTAGGGCTGTTGTGAAACATCCTAGTCTGAAGCTTCTGTCTTGAAATTCTGTCATCTCTTCTTAAGAGCCTAAACTCATGGAATAGCCTTCTCCCCTCTTTCAAGCCAACCCCGCTTTCTCTGGAATTGATTCCTGGGACTAAAAGAGATTCCCTGATTGAAAGAATGTGCAAGGCCAAAGAGATCTGGAGGCTATTTTGGTTCAGTCTTCTCAGTTTACCGATGAGGAAACTGAGGCAGCTGAATGTTCGCCCCTGCCCCCCATGCTCCTTGTGTTAATGTTTATGTTAATGAGTACGGAGGTTGAATAGAGCCTTTGGTCTCACCTTGGATAGGGATAAGTGCATCTTTCCTCAGCGGAAGCCTGTTCTGCCTGGAATGGACCCGTGCGTCGTCGGGCTTACACTTGACACGGATGGCCACAGGTGTGCGGGGGGCCAGGAAGGAAGGGTGGGTTCTTGCCTGTTGCGCTGTCACAGCGGCCTCGGGAGATTATGTAACCAAACCACTTTAGCCGGAACGCTGAGGCAGGTGGGCTGACCTCTGTGCTCAGGAGGGGAGGGACATCAGGGTGTCTGGGAGTGCGGTGGGCACCCCACTGTCCACAGTTCTTATAGTCCCAGAGTGACTAATGCTATGCTTGCCCTGGGATTTCGGTGGCGGGGGCTTGGAGTCGGACAAGGGCATCTGCGTGCCTGGGAACTAAAACAGCCAAACAAGGACCCTGGTTGCAGCAGATAAAGGTGTAGCGCCTGTTCGAGGGAGATATTGAAATTGTAATCTTTGAGGTCACGTGACTCATTAAATAATTAATGCGGATCGTCAGGAATGGATCGGCGTCGTCAGGGCCTCACTAGGAATGAATCTCTCAGAAGTGAGACCCCAACTTACTATTTGATTTTTAAAAACACACGTCCTCAGATTTATCTCCAAAGGCTTTTAACTCCTTCAGGAGAGCTGGAGAGAGCCCTTCAGCGGGGAGGACCGGAGCTGGCGGGCCCACGCGGGGGTTTGGGGCTTTTTCTGCAGGGTTTCTGCGAGTCCCGGGAGCGCGCCGCGTCCGGGGAAACGTGAGTTCGGGCTCGGGTTTTCTGCGGTCACAGCCTGGCTTTGGTGATGAAGTGGGACGGATGCGCAGACAGTTGGTAATGTTCTGATTCACACTGGGGAAGGCTGCAGAGATGCCACAGGAGCGGCGCGCGGCTTTGTTCAATTTTCCCGGTGTTCATAAATCACCCGCGCCGGGCGAGCGAGGGAGCAAGCGAGCGCCAAAAACGCCGAGAGAGAGGCCACAGCGGCGGCGGCGGCCATTGCAGAAGGAGAGACCTGGGCAACATCTCTTTGTGACTCATTAGTCTGAACGATTTATGGGAAACAGCAGCCATGAATATTTGACTTGGGGATAAGGAAATAGCAACAATAATAATAACCATAATAATTACAACACTCCTAAGCGTCGCGGGGAGATGTTGGAGAGTGGGTGGCGGACGGTGGCATAGTGAATCTTTCTGGGGTGAAGTTGGGTGGCAACCTGCAGGGTAGCTAAGCCCCACCTTCCTCAGGGTCACACCAGGAGCCCCAAGGCCAGGGGGCACTCCCTTTGGGGACATAGAGGGCGAGTTTGAACAAGAGAAAGTGCTTCAGTGTGGATTCTGAGTCCCGGGTGCTTTATGGAGAGGGGGCTGCAGGTGGAGGTGGTGGCAGAGGGCAGCTAGCTGCTGGTTTTCTGCCACTTGTTCAATGTGCTACGGGGCCCTGAAGCCTGAGGGTCAGGGGAGTTGTCAGCTATTTGGTAGCTCTCTTGGTGCTATCAGCAGGATTGCATGGATGCGGGGCAGCCATCGAGGGCTGGTTTGGGGCAGGCTGGAGTATAGGAAGGCTACCCAGACCTGGGTGAAGGGGCAATGGGGCAGGGATAGGGCTGTGGAAGCAACCTGCCCCACAGAGTCCCAGCCCAGCCAAGGACTTCCTCAAGCCAGGGGCCAGAGCCCAGGACAATTCTTTGCCCCTTCCCCAGTGACTTCTCACTCCTGAAAGTTGGCTGACCATTTGCTAGTTAGAGAGTAAAAGAGGGCTGCAAATATCTTGAGGGATGAGGTGGCAGCAGAATTAGGGCATCAAGCGGCTGGCTGCCCTTGCGCAAGGCCAGGCTGGATAGGGCCCCCAGATCGGGTATTCTCTGATGCCGGCGTCTTTCCCAGTTTCCCCCTATTACCAACAGCCTTCCAGTTGGCCGGCTCTGAGGGACTGGGCACTGCCGTACTCCTGCCAACCCACTGGCACCGAGAAGTGACGCACCCAGGGCTTGAATGAACCAGAAGACAAAACCTCTCGTGACTACCCCAGGCCCATGGTCTGAGCCGGGGTCTGATTTCGCGCCAAACAGAAATGAACGCTATTAGAGAGGTTTCAGGAGAATCCGTGATTGAATGCTCCCAGACAAGGCTTCCCTTTGTTAGCAAAAGAAAATAAAGCGTGCATTCACATTCCCCAAGTTGAGGTGCGTGAGGAGCTGTCCGAGCAGAGCCGGCGCCAACAGCAGCAAAGCCTCTTCCACCTTCCTATCTTCCTTTGCCTCGTCCCTTTTCTTCCCCTCCCCCATCCCCCACTCCCTAAAAAGAAAGAAAAAGGAGAGTGTGGGTGCAGAGATGCAGTATGTATTTATTTTAGAAAAATAAATCACCATCATCAGGCCATTTGTAGACTGGAACCTTTTGAGCAATGAGTGCGCCGCATGGACGAGTGCCCTGGCGACTCCTCCGTGTCCGCGTCACCCCGGGGGCCACCCTGGCGCCCGCGCCGGCCGCGCTTCCAACTCCGGTCCTCTAACTCCTTTCTTTGGCAGCTGCCGTTCACCCTCTGCTGTTTGTTTGTCCGCAGAGCGCCTGGACACCGGAAAAGGCGATTCCCTGAGCGCCCGGAGTTGGAGACAATCTCTGGTTCAGTCTTAGACATCTTTCGAGGTAAGCGCTGCGCCAAAAGTCTTCACTGCGCCGGGCTTTGCAGCCGGCCTTTGGGAGGAGTTCCTCTCCCGGGCAGCTGCAGCCCTTTCAGAAAGGCTCTGGTCAATATTTAACTTCAGAGGAGCTGGGGAGCTGGGTTCGCTTCAGCTGCACGCCCCGCGAATGCGGGGCTTCAGGCAGACAAAGAGTCTGCCCCCAACGCTGGCCCGCGTTGTGCTGGAGGGGCGGTTGCAGAGATCAAAGATGTGTGTGCGTGGGGAGGCGGGGGTGTCAGGAGGGTGTGTTTGTTTCTGCCGGCAAGCCCCAAACAAACCACTACACGGAACAGCAGGGCCAAAGCAAGTAGAGGCCACGGGCGCGGCGGCCGCTGCGTGGGCCGCTCTCCCTGTCGACTGTTTGCGGCGCCTGCGGAGACCGTGAGTTCGGAAATTGTCGTCAGCCCCAGCTCTGCGTTGAGGAAACTTGCCTCGCCGCCTTGTAGTTTCTTCTATTCTTTTGCCTTTCCTCGGCATGAGGGAAGTTGCTGTATTTCAAATGTGTAGACTGTGTCAGGCGGCGGGTCTTCTCGCTTCCTTTAGCCGGGGTGATCCGCTCTTCTTCCTACGGGAAAAGCACGGGTTTTCTGGGTCTCGGCGTTTTCTTTTCCTATTTGGAACAAGGGAAAACTCTTTAAAATTCTTTTCAAGTTCTGGCTTAATTTGTTCTCTTAGTTTGGGATGCAGGGAGGTAATTACTGTGGTTTATTACCTTGTAAAAGATCCATAAATTTCGTGCCTATTTGGGGGAGGGGCTGTTGGAATAGCTTTCAGAAGCTTGGTATGAAGGAATGGGTTTGCTTTGTTCTTTCAGGAATTACCTATTTTAAACAGTTTTCTGAGATTTTGTTTTCTATTCCCTAGGCCTCAGTCTTTCTTAAAATTTGCTCTGCAAATAGATATCAAGTTATTAATTGCAACATGCTATTCAGTGACACTCTAAGGCTGATGTGGTGTTCTGCATACAACTATTATTTTATCAGATAAGGAGTAAATAAAGAAATAGTAAAGCTGGGTTACTTTCTCAGCTACTGTATGTCTATTTATATCAGATATAAATGGAGCATTTCAGGAATTTGCAACTCAGTGTGTACATACGATTTGCATTTCTGCACACAACAGAACCATTGCATGTATAAATAGTTGCAGGAGTTTGAGACCATGAGTATAAAATGATATACACATCCACATATGTCCAGAGAACTTGGAACCCATTTGCACTGCAGTTGCACCTACAGGAAATGTCTCATGTTAAATAATGATCTATAACCTCCACAAAAAAAAACAAACCAAAAAAAGTGGGTTAAGAGGGCCTTACCCGATGGCGAGTAGAAAAACTACTAGAGTTAACTAAAGGGAGAAAAATGTTAAGTGTATTTTTGACAGAGAAATCAGGTTGTAGTATTTGAATACAGATAAATCTAATCTGCCAACAGCCTTGCAAATATTGACTAAAGCTCTGTATCCTTGGTCACCTGCTCCTTCCAAGACAACTTTCTGCCTATTTTGACTCTGATGGCATGGATCCAGGACATGTGTCCCAACCCTGGTCAAATTAGGGGCTAAGGCAGTGAGTAGAGGAGGACGGGCAGCTGGGTTTCCCAATCTGGGCCTAGATTCTTGAGCATCTCTATTCTTGTTTTCTGGAACTGAACTTTAAATGGCCCATAGCCTTGCTCCGGGGAAGTGGATTTCAGAGTGCTGAAGGAGGACTCGCAGCTGCTGGTTCCTTGGTGGTTTGCCCAGACCAAGGTCTCTCTTAGGGAATCTGTTTTCACCTCAAAAGTTGAGTTTCCTTTGATTTTCTCAGATTTTTCCTTTCACATCCCACCAAATCACCCCTTCCTACCCCAACTCATTAATGTTAATTGCTAAACAGCAGTTGGAGCATTAACTGGGCTGTTAATGGTGGCATGGAAGTTCCTGGCTAGAGCTGAGATGCCATTGGGCCTTGCTGGCGTTAAGGCATTTCTCTGAAGCAGTACCAAAGACTTCTCTCATTGATTTATGGCCTCAGGAGTTTCGATTTGCTGCAGATTGTTCTGAGAGTTCTGAAGGGGGCCCCTTCTCATCTCTGACTTGAAGCCTTTGCAGAAAGTTTGGTTGGGGGGAAGGGAGTTTACCAGCAATTCGGCAATACTTCCAGGTCCTTTTCAGGCTATCTGGAGATCTCAGTGTGAAATATTTATGGGGGGGGGGGGGAGCAGAAGACAGTGTATTAGTGATCTGAGTCCTTGGGGGACTGGAGAGAGCTTTTTAGGAACCAACCTTTGGTTCTGTCCCCTATCCCCCAAACCTGAGAGATCCAGGGTTTCTCTTTGGGTTCTTGCTTTCCAGCTTATGGCTTAAGTCAGAGCTGGGAAAGTTCACATAGAGGTTCTCTCCTAACTATACTACAGACAGAACTTTACTGGAATTCTGCCACCAGTTTAGGCCAGGCCTCACTTCCAAGGGATTAGGTCTCCTCCACTTTTATTGCCCTTCTGATTTGGACACCTCCATGACCAGGCCCCCTTACTGAGGGCCTTACATTCTCACCAGGCCCCTCTGTCCCCTGCAGGGGAGGAGGGGAGGGGAGAAATCATGCACAGCCCCCTGCAGCTGCTACAAGTATGTCCTCACACTTAGAGAGGCCTAGCCAGCTGAAGACCCACTCTTAAGGAACAAAGGAATATGGCATGGGGATCTCACCAGCTCAGAGCACTCCCAAAGTTCAGAAACTAAAACCTGAGAAGAGGAACTTTTTAGACAGCTCATGAGAGAGTGAAGTGTTGAAATCAGTGGACAGTGTCACCAAGCAGAAGGCAGGAGTAGGAGGGGGGAGGGGAGGGGTGCTTATTTGTTTCAGCCATGTTCCTCCTGAGCAGAGTTGGTCCAGTTCAGTTTCTGTTGGTGGACATAGCGTTGCTGTAGGAAATGGTAGACAGACCCATCTGCAGAGAGGGTCCCAGGTTGTCTCAAAGGTTAATTTAAGGGATGCCAGCAAAGGTTGGTTCTTTCTTTTTCCTCTTGCAGAGACAACCAGACCATTTCCCCTTATATTTTTCATCATTAGAAGCCTATAATTTTGTGTATCACCCAGCTATGCACTGAGGAAATGCCTAAGTGCAGGTTTGGCCAGGACACTGGGTCCCTCCAGATTTTGCAGAAACCCTGACCCACCATTCTAGAACCAAGCACCTCTTTCCTAGGGGGCTCCCATCTAACGAAACCAACTGGACTGGAAGGAGGTGCTTTGGCCTTTTGTCAGGTAATTATGGGCCTTTTGGTTTCTCCAGTGGCTGTAGTGTATGGCGTGGGTGTTTGCAAACTGCATACAATCACAGGCCATGAGGGAGTCCACTGACTAGGCCAGTCATTACTGGAAACAGTGGCCTTGCTTTTTGATGTACTGGCCAGCAGGCCAGAGGATACTGGAATGTTTGGGTGTGCTGGGTTCTGCTTGTCCGTGAGTGGAAGACCTTATAGAAAGTTATGTGGACTCTAGAATGGGGATGGCATTGCTGTTCCCTTGTGTTTGGATCGTGTGTAAAGAAATATAAGCAGAGATAAGTGGCCTTGTGTGGCACTTGTTAGGGGGGAGAGATGCCCCCAGCATCCTACTGCCCTAGACAAAGCTCTTCCCCACTGCTGGTCAAGGTCCCCCCCTTCTGCTCCCCCAAAGCTAAATGTTCTGCTTGGAAACCTAGTTCCTTCAGTGATTCCCTATTTCAAATAAAAGGATTTAAGTTGACGTATGACCACGTGAGCACATAATACAGCGCATTATTGTGGCATTTGGAGCGGAGACCCGGGCGGGCTTCGCCTGTGATTACGATTTCTAGATTCTCTACAGAACGAGAGCTTTTTTCCCCCACCCCCACGCACCCACCTCCTCCTTCTCCTTCCCCTTCTCCGGAGAGCGCTCTCCTAGCGTGTTGCAGTTTTCAGCGCTCATGGAGTGGTTCTGGACGAGCTAGCCGATGGGATTGGAGGCTACACTGGGAGGATGGAATTTATTTTAAGGTATTTCCGCTGATTGTTCATATCTAGAGTGAGTTATGGCTGTGAGAGACAAAGGTCAGGCAAGGAGATCCTGGTTCATGGACAGGACCCTCAGCCCCTCTCTTCCTTTGTTTCTCCTTTAGAACTGAAACCATTTGAAAGATCCTTAGTAGCACCTCAGACTGAGTTTAATTCCCTGGAAAGTGTTAGGGGATTAAAGGAAGGGGCACTTGGGGGCTACTAGGTGGGCCCGGTGGCCTCCAGCACTCCAGTGGCTTTGTCCACTGCAGCCGGGCTTAGTCCCAGGAGCTGAGCCCCAGGCGGAGGGATGTCCCGAAGAGCTGACGCGGGCCAAGGTGGCCTGCGCTGCTCTCACTGAGAGAAACTGCCTGGAGGGGTGAGGACTGGGTGAATGAGAAGGTGCATACTGTGTTTGCCAGCCTGGGATGGAGGGTTAGGGCTGACCTGGGCAGCCGGAGCAGCTGGGAGAGGGAAATCAATGAGTGTGCAGATGCGCTGCCATTTTATTGATGATGCTTCAGGCTACTTTGTTCAGTGCTGGGTTGCAGGACATGCTCTCCTACATGCTGGACAGAAGGAGCCAAAGAGGACACACCATTGTTCTCCAGAGCACCCTCTGCCTGGGTAGGGGTGGAGAAGGACAGCTCAGATCTAGGAGAGGCCTGGGATAGGGGAAAGCGCGCTGGATGCCCAGAAGCTCTGTTACTCTAACATTTGGGAGACAGAGGAAGGAGGGAGCCTGGAGCAAGGTTTGGGCTTCATAAATCCGCATGGCCTGGGTGCCCCTTTTTACGCCCCCAGCGGGCTTGGAGAGTTTAAGGACTGGCCACTGTGCCCTAGGCTGGAGGGAAGTTCGGAGGCACAGTCTTAGGGAAGCAGAGGCAGACATTTCTCTGGCTTCAGAGCCCCAGAGCTGTGCTGTAGCCAGGATGGAGGCAGATGAGAGTTAAACTATGTGCTTCCAAATTACTGGGAAAGCTCCAGCTAATTGGGCTTTGGGGACCCAGCACTCCTGGGAAGGATGGAAACTCCCTGAAAAGGCGAAGGAAACTTCACTTTCCTCTGCTCCTGGAGCTCTTGGAACAGAGGAAAGGGGAGCCTACAAGGAGTCGGGAATCGGATTTGCTCTGTGACTTTTTAAAATAATATTTCTTTCTGTACTTGAAAAAAAAAAAATCAAATCAGGCTTCCCTTACTTGAGTGGGATTTACTTCCCCAGAACGGAAGGGCTGCTTCTGCCCTCCCCGGCTGCCGGCTCGGTGCTAACTATGTTTAACTGAGGCTGGTTCAAGTGCTCTAAAACACCCCTTGGAAATAAAATGTAAGCTTTAATTGCTGTTCAATTACTTGTCAGCATTTGGTATGATTTATGACCTGGTTCTGGCGCATTTTTGACCCAGTTAAAGACTCATAAATAATATAGTTTCACTAGAAAGAATGAGAGAGGGAATATAGGTTTGTTAAAGGCATCTTTTTATTGTCACTTCAGTGCCAACAAGCAAAATAAACATCTAAGGATGGATTCTCGAGCTGGTTCTGTATGAGAGTGTGCACAGTGAGAAGAAGCCAATAGTCACATTTATAGAGCACAAGTTGGTTTTTCCTCCACAGAAAGAGCTAAAGCCACTCCATTATAGCTAAACTGCAGCTATAAAAAAGGCTAGTTCCCTCTTACCCTCAAAATGCCAGCCTCACCCTCATAGGCAAGTGTATTTCCTCATTAATTTTGCTCCCTATTCTGGGATCTCGATGCCTCTTCTTGCCAACAGTTATTCCTTACCTTCCTTCCTGGCTGCACAGCCTTGGAGCCACCCGAGGCCCTCTCAGACATGCTCACAAGGAGACCCCTGTGAAGGGTAGAAAGGCACCAGCACACCCTTGCTGCTCCAAATAGTCTAGTGCTGAGAAAATATTTTCTTCTGGTCCCCATGAGTGAGAGATCGGGGAGCACAGGGACTTGGGGGAATTTGGGGAGCCAAAGAGTACTCTCAGCAAAGAAAACCTCAGTGGTTTTGGCGGAGCCGGGTGACTAGCTGTGGGATTTGCCTAGAAAGGGCAAGGCGGCAGGGCCGGTAATTTCTGGCGGTGGAAATCGACAGGCGGTATTTTTCTCTTAAAAAACAATAACAAACAAAAAACCTTCAGCTACTATAAATTGCTTTAATCACCTCGGCTACCTTGTTCCAAAAGCCAATCCTTCGGATTTCAGCAGAGAGGCCCGAACCCCGGCAGTCTGCGTGCCTGGGGGCCAAAACCGAGTCTTGAGGTCGGAACCCGACCTCTGCCCGCTGCAGCTCGCCGCCCAGAAGCCGCTGGTCGAGGGTGGGCGGAGGCTCTCGCCCGAGCTCCTGCCCGCCTTTCCCCAGGCTCCTGCCGGTTGGCGTGTCCAGTCCCCCGTTGTGCCCGGCGCGGTCTCGGTGCCGGTGGAAAGGTATGCGCCCCGAGCGCCCCAGCCCTCACCTCGGTGCCCTCGGCCCCTGGGCCCTGGCCGTCCCCTCCCCCGGCAGGTTCTCACGGACTGCTGGCCTTCCTTGCAGCTGCATTAGCTGAGAAAGCGGTGAGAGGCGCGTCAGCAGTTTGGAGGAGAAAGTACGGGTTGATTATTGACCCTCGCCTTCTTTCTTCAAATGCCACATCCGACCCGGCCGGTTTGAAGAGAAATTGCCTCCGAGCGGATTTTTGCGGCCGGCTCTCGCCTCCTACGCGGCCCGGCTCCCCCTTTCAAGTCGCGCTGCCGCAATACGCCATAAGGAGCAAGTGTTTGCTGTTTTGTGCTCTGTTTACAGCTTTGGGGCGCCGAGTCATAAATCTTGCCCAGCCATAAATGACAAAAACCATTGGTATGCATGAGGCCACCCTGGCCCGGAGTGCTTTTTGATTTCTCCCTTTTCCCTTGGCTTTGTTTTTGCTCTAAGGTGACACTTTGGCTCCCTGACAGTTTAAACATACTACTTATATTTTTAACACCTTCCTTTGAGAAGGACCGGCCGTTGACACCTTGGAATTGCACGAAAGCTCCATTTCTCTCTTTTTGCCACACACATACCGTTGCAGAGTTTGCTGCTGAATCTGGGGAGTTGAGGGAGGCGTTAGGAGGGAGAAAGACCATCCTCCTTAAAGTTGTGGCAATTTTACCGGGCACACTCGGGCCTTTCCTCTGTGTATACCACTGACTAGGGGGGAAAACATCATAGATGTCGGTTCGTGGTGGGGTCAGATCTTTATTCGTCTTTTCCTGTGAGTGAGCTGCGTGTCTGTGCTGTGAAATGGGCGCAGACGAGCTGGAGACCCAGGTTCCTAGGCACCCATGTGTGTACCTGAGCGCAGAGCGTCCCATTTCACTGCCGGGACAAATGAGCATCTCCCCAGGCTCCTTCCCTCCCGGCTGCCAGGATTTCAAGGGTTTCTGTCTTAAAATATAACCAAAGACAGCCCAGTTGGCTCTTGAGGAGGTCTCTCGAGAAAGGAGACCCTATTCCAACCCCCAAAGATGGCTTTAAGGTTCTTGGATTAGGGGAGCAGGTGAGGTATACTGCCCAAAGTCTGGGGAACTCTCTTCTCCTGGTTTTCTTTCCCCTAGCCCCCCAACTGGAAATGTCCAGGGCAGAGGGTTACTTGGTTTCTCAAACGGATTCCTAAGAAATAGAGCCCGGCCAGAGAGCCCCTTTGTGAGAGCCGTTTGTCCTCATTAGCATAATTTTCCTGGACTTTAGTGACGCCTAGGAGTGAGGAGAGGGAGGGCGTTGGGGGTTGGGGGGAGGCCGCCCTCCTCCCGCCGCCGCCGAGCTCCCCCTCTCGCTCCTGTCCCTCCCCTCGCCTCAGCCCCATCCCCCACGCCGGCCCGCGCTTCCCTAGCCGCCTCGGCCTCCCCGCCCGCCCGCCCCCAGCACCCCCCAGCGCACCCCCGACCAGACGCTTCTCCGCGTGTAATATTCATAAGAAACATACCCAAGTCGGTGCCACTAGCCCAGGCAGAGCCCCGCGCCGCGCCAGCGCTTATCTCCGGGCCGCGGCTGCTGCCTTCGGGAAGGGCAGGGGGCGGGGGTGTGGGGGAGGGGTGGGGGGGCGTCCAAGCAGCCCCAGTCCGCCCTGGGCGAGCCGTGCTGGAGCAGCGAGGCGGCCACGCTCTGCGCGCCGCGGCGTCCGGGCCTCGGGGTCTCCCGCCCGCCCGCCGTCTCGGCTGATGCTGAGGGTCGGTGCCCATCCCGTGCCGAGGGGACCCGGCCGGGCTGCCGAGCCGGGCCGGGGGCTGGAACCCGAGTCCGAGCCCGAGCCTGCGCTCGTGGCGCTCTTCAGAAGTTAAGGTAAGCAGGGCCACAACCGGCCGCTCTCAGCGCTGAATGGCGGAGTTTACGTCTCGGTGATTTATGGCTGCAGACTTAAATCTCGGTTCAAGAAGAGTTCACAAGCCGGAGCTTCCTTCCCGGCAGTGACTGATACCCTTACACTTCGAGTTCAAGCCGCTTTCCCATCCCCGCCCCCACCTCTTCTCTCTCCCCTAGCCCAGCCTCAACTTTTCTGGGTCGGGGAGGGAGAGAGGGATGGGAAAAGGGACGTGGGGGCTCTTACCCGATGTTCCCGCTTAAACTCGGGGTGAAGGCAGGCTGAGGAAGGGGCAGGAGCGAGAAGAGGGAGCGGTATCTGAAGGAAGGAGGTTGAATTTGGGCAGATCTTCCAGAGAGACAATAGGGCTTGCTTCCTGCACTCAATTTAGCCTCCTCAGCCCTCTTTCAGCTCTTGCACCTGGGGTTATTGTCCAGAAACAGATCTTTTCGGAGGAATCTCCTCATATCCCCAGCCCTTGCTTGGGGGTGCAAAGTAAAGTTTCTTGGCTGGCAGATCTCCAATTCAACTTCTTTACTAGATTGCAAACTTCGGGGGCTGGGTTGGGGAGGGAATTGTATGGGCCCCAAGGTGGTTGTCTGCTGACCTCAAACAATAGGAAGGACTTTGGTGGTATCTCCGAGGTGAATTCGTATTTTAAGTTTATGGCAGTTGTTGTATGCTCTTTGATTTTTAAGGTATTTTTGTTATTTTACAAGACAATGCACAAGTTGATTAAAAAGGACTTAAGTAAGCAGCAGGCCGGTGTAGCTTGTGATAATGTATTAGCAAGTCAATGGAAATATTGCACATTCCAAATCAACTTAATTTTGTTTTATCTAATATCTTGCTGTTCAAGTGTCTGGAGTAATTTTCTTAACCTGTTTTATTTTATACAAACCTAGCGTCTTAAAAATTTATAATGGCAGACATTAACATTGCCAAATGTAATAGGAACTGTTTCCAGTGAAAGGACAGGAAACTGAGACATTAAATTGCTAATCAGTTTTAAATTTTATCTTTTATTTACTTTCGATCATGGTATCTATAGCTTCCTATCTATTTCCAAAAGAGAAACAATACTCCAGGGCTCAAGATTATGCACAATAACTCCGGATAAGGGATGCTGTAATTTTTAATTGAGGTTCTGGAAAATTAATTGTGCCTATTTTCCAGATGTTGGTCAGATTGTTGGTTTAATAATGAAATCCGAAGGAGTCCATTGTTAAAAATGAAATTAGAATCATCCACTGGTAGATGCTTATTACATTATTTTTTTTTCTAGTTAAAGTGTCTGCTAGTCCTTGAAAACTTGAATAACTCCAGGACTCAAATACATGTAGTTTGGGCGTGAAGTGTAAACCATTTTCTTCATGAATTTGTCATTATTTTCTTAAATGGTCAGAGAGACTACCATTCTGAGTGTGTGTGTGTGTGTGTGTGAGTGAATATATGAACTCACATGGAACTTTTCTGAGCTGAGAATCAGAAGTAGACCATGCAAAGGTTGAAAATAAAAATAAAACACAGATTTCACTTCTGCAAACTGCTTTCTAAATAAAAAAAGGGTTGAGAAGACTTTCAATTGCTTTTTTGATTTCCAGGCTTGCCCTTTACTTGGTGTTTCTGAAGCAGGTAAATAGGCCAAGGAACAAATATCAACAACAACAACAGCACACAAAGATCAGGGAACTCTGGCAGGATTTTATGGCTTGTGCTTCCATCCCTAGTCCGGAGCCAAATGACCCCCATACATCAAATTACATAGCAGTTTCTCAGACAGAACCTATTATCGTTAAGTTGGAAGGAGAGTTCAAGCCGTGGTCATGGAGATGAACGCTGGTTTTTCAGGTTCCTGGTGGGTTGTTTTTTTCTCTAATCCATCATGTTTTAACAGGTAGAATTTGATAGTTGCCCTGAATAACAGCACCTCAAAAAGCCGAAGGCAGGAGGGTCTAAGGACCTTCTGTATCAGGGGAATTGAGGTGGGAGTGGCTTGCTGGGACATGCTTGAGAAATAGGAAAGGAGTAAAGAAGTGTCCAGGATTTGAGTTTGACTTGCTGGAGCAAGTGTTTTTGGTCCCACCCCACACAGGATGTTCCATCCAAAGTTTCTCTCTCTCCTTCTTGGGCGCAAGGAGCTCATTTGGAAAGGTGTGTCATATCCCTGCCTACCAAGCTCAGCTTCTGAAATCAAGCAGGGTGGAGTAGGGCAATTGCCTGAAAAATTTTTGCGCATACCTCTTTTGGGTGCTGGAAGGTCCAAGAAGGGGCTGGATGGGAAGTCACCCCGTGTCAGGGCTCTTTTGGCAAATACCAGTCCTAAAGCGAGGACTGGAGAAAAATTTGGCGACCCAAGCTCCACTTTGCCTCCTCGCCCCTTCCCCGGGATCCCCAGAGGGAAGGAGTCGCGTGGCTCGCTGGATGAGGCCAAGGAGCGGAAACGAAGGGACACCCCAAGTTTCTTCTTCCCTGGAAAAGAAGGATCCCAACCCTGTTCCTTTCTGGCCCATCAGGCCTTTCTTCTTTTGGACTCCAGCTCCCAAGACTTGGCTTTCAGCCCTCACTCACTGTCCTCCTCTCTCCCCGGAAAACCCCCCAACTCCAGACGCAAGTTAAGCAAATATTTGTAGCTGCCAGTAAATTCCAGCGGCTTTTTATAGCGCGGCTCTCTGCGCCCGGGGCCAAGTCGTGCTGCTAAATATTGCTGACCACTTTTTCTTTTATGGCTTTCATGTCACTTAGCTATTGAGAGTAAGATGGATTTGCGCGGAGCCCTCACCGCGCTGCGATTCTCGCCCCCCCCCCACCAGGTCTGCGCGGGGCGGCCATTGGCGGCGGAGCGTCACGTGACCGCGGGGGCGTGCCAATGTGCGCCCTCACGGGTGTCAAGCCCCTGCCAGTGTGTGCCATCAAGATCGTGAAACAACGCGATGCAAAAAGCGACCTACTACGACAGTTCGGCGATCTACGGTGGCTACCCCTACCAGGCAGCCAACGGGTTCGCTTATAATGCCAGTCAACAGCCCTACCCAGCGTCCGCGCCACTGGGCCCCGAGGGCGAGTACCACCGACCCGCCTGTTCACTCCAGTCGCCCGCCAGCGCCGGGGTCCACCCCAAGGCGCACGAGCTGAGCGAGGCATGTCTGCGCACCCTGAGCGGCCCGCCCAGCCAGCCCCCGGGGCTGGGCGAGCCGCCTCTGGCCCCGCCACCGCCCCAGGCCGCGCCCCCTGCCCCACAGCAGCCTCAACCCCCGCCGCAGCCCCCTGCGCCCGCTCCTGCCGCGCCCCCGCCCCCCTCTTCAGTCTCCCCACCTCAGAATGCCGGCAGCAACCCTGCCCCCGCAAGCGCGGCCAAGAGCCCCCTACTCAACTCGCCCACGGTGGCCAAACAAATCTTCCCCTGGATGAAGGAGTCTCGGCAAAACACAAAGCAGAAAACCAGCGGCTCCAGCTCAGGTAAAGGGGTGCCTTCTGGAGGAGGGTCCTCTGGCCTGCTCCCAGGCCCCCCAAGCCACCTCCAGCCACAGCCAGCACTGCCTGGGAGCGCTGGAACATTTCCAAGAATTCACTGCTCCTCCTCTCCCCACCCCACAAAGATTTCCAGAGTCTTTGCAACTAGGAAGGTGACAGGACACTGTGTGCCCAGGAAACCCCAGAGAGAGACCTGTTAGGAGTCTCTCTGGACTTCTCCAAGAGTAAGTGAGGCCTAGTGGGTTTGGAATCCCTTCTTGTTCCACTCTGGAGTTGGGACCTTTGAGCAGAGCAAAGCCGAGCTCCACTCTCTCTTTTTAACGCAACTCCTCCTTTCTAATGAAACAGTGACATGCACCCCACACTGAAATGTGGCAGAATAAAAGCGGGCCTAATCACCCTCCAAGTCAGAATCAATGCTTTGCCTACAATCAGAGCTTATTTTTAATTTTTGCTCCAGCAGATGGAGTGGCTGCCTTACCTCTGGGAAAGCCCTACTCAGACTCAGTACAATGAAGGCAGCCAGGGATCTCCTGGGGGAAAGGCTTTGGACTTGTCACCCTAATAGGAACCACATGGGCCTCCTGGAACTGGACTCCAGTGCAGGATAGGCCCTAGGTCTTAGGCTTCCCAGCATCTTGGTCAGCTTTGCCCCTCCCTTCTCCCGTTCCCAGTGCTCTGCTCCAAGCCTGAGCATCCGGAACCCTCTGGAGCCAGGATTTGGGGGGCCAGGGAGGACAGGAGGGCACAAGATTAGTGGGCAAAGCTCAAGCAAACTGCTTAATGACATGGGGAACCCTAATTAATAGGACCCAGCATCAGGGGCCTGGGCCTCCCGGCCAGAAATGGATACTTTCAATGAGATCTCTTCCTTTTGGCAGAGAAGGCCTTCTAGATTGGGGCTTCCACGCCACCCATCTCCACTAGGTAGATTAAACAATTGGCTGGTTGAGGCAACTTTCCAATCCTTCAGTCAGACAGTGAGCAAGGGGAAGGTTTGCTGAGTGTACATGAGGTGCCCACGTTCCAGTTACTGTGAAGGGAGTGAAGACGGTGAGACTTGCCCATAGGGAACTTGTGGCCTGATAGGCCTGAAGGATCAGTAAAAGAGTCAGAAAGTGAAGGCCCCAGAAATACAGACCAGGAAGGCAGACTGGAGGTTCTGCTTTTCTGTCCCTCCTCCCTCAGAGAAGCCTATGATTTGCAACTTGACTGAATGAGGGGCTAACTACTCAGTTACCGACACTGTTTCTCCACCAGAACAGAGGACAGCACCTAGTTCTTCCTCCCCATTTCTGGGCCCTGACAGATGGAGGAACTTTGGGGCCTGGAGCAAGGAGGGGCCTGGCTGGGTCAGGGGCGAGGCGGGCCGCGGTCGGCCCCTGACGCCATTCTTCCTCTCTCCTCTGTCCTCGTAGGGGAGAGCTGCGCCGGCGACAAGAGCCCGCCTGGGCAGGCGTCGTCCAAGCGGGCGCGCACGGCCTACACGAGCGCGCAGCTGGTGGAGCTGGAGAAGGAATTCCACTTCAACCGCTACCTGTGCCGGCCGCGCCGGGTGGAGATGGCCAACCTGCTGAACCTCACCGAGCGCCAGATCAAGATCTGGTTCCAGAATCGCCGCATGAAGTACAAGAAGGATCAGAAGGGCAAGGGCATGCTGACATCATCAGGGGGCCAGTCCCCAAGTCGCAGCCCTGTGCCCCCCGGCGCGGGTGGCTATCTGAACTCTATGCATTCGCTGGTCAACAGTGTCCCATACGAGCCCCAGTCGCCCCCGCCTTTCTCCAAGCCCCCCCAGGGCGCCTATGGGCTGCCCCCCGCCTCCTACCCTGCACCCCTGCCCAGCTGTGCGCCCCCGCCACCCCCACAGAAGCGCTACACGGCGGCGGCGGGGGCCGGCGCGGGGGGCACCCCCGACTATGACCCGCACGCGCATGGTCTGCAGGGCAACGGCAGCTATGGGACCCCACACTTACAGGGAAGCCCCGTCTTCGTGGGGGGCAGCTATGTGGAGCCCATGAGCAACTCTGGGCCGGCCCTCTTCGGCCTAACGCACCTCCCCCACGCCGCCTCGGCCACCATGGACTACGGGGGTGCTGGGCCGCTGGGCAGTGGCCACCATCACGGGCCTGGGCCAGGGGAGCCGCACCCCACCTACACGGACCTTACCGCCCACCATCCTTCTCAGGGAAGAATTCAGGAAGCCCCCAAGCTCACCCACCTGTGATGGTGGGTTCGGGGCTGCGCGCCAGGAGAGTCCCCCCCCCCTTTCTTCTTCGTTTACTTTTTTTGTCTTGTTTTGTTTAAGGTTCTTCCTGTCCCTCCCTTTTCTCTCTCCTCCAGCCCCCGCTTCCCACCCCTCCCCCCGTTTTGTTTTCTTTGGTAACGCGTTTTTATAGTTTATGTGACGTAGCAATCTTGGTTGCTGGAATGGCTGTCAGTATCAGTAGCGATATTTATCTCCTCCCTCCCCTCGCTCGGCCACTGGCCCTGCACCCTCTTCCTTCTCTACTCTTTGATCAGAAACAGGGTATATGAACAAATTTTCTAGCCGAGTTCTTCAATGTGAATTTGTTCGTACATTATGGCTCCCGAGGGGAAGCGATTACTTTTAAAATTTTTTTGTTTTTTTTTAATTGCACTTCTTGTAAAGAGCGAGAAAAATCAAAGGCGCTTTGAAACAGGGGCTCCCTGTGCAAGGATGACTAAGTGTACGTCTTTCCGTGTGTGTATGCTGGTGAACAGTCAGATTTATTTATATTTTTTTTGCAAGCATTGAATAATCTAAGTTTTAAATATTATTTATCCCCATCCGTTCGTATTTATATTAAAGAAATTCTGTACCCTGATTGTTCAGAAGGTTTCTTGGGCCTTTTGTTCAATGGTGTATTGGCGTACATAGTAAATTTTTTTATTTGAAAGGGAAATATAATTCCTTTATAAAAACGGTAATGATGCAATAATACCAGAGAGGATCCAGCTTTTGACAGCGGTGATTTAGGTTTAACATCCGGCGAAACTGAAAAAAAAATCTGTAAACGTAAAAAACGCTAGATTTGTTTTGAGAGTTCTACATTCCTTGCTGCTCACATTCTGAGAAACAAAACAAAAAAATAAAGTTTTTATTCTGAATAATACCCGTGTTCAGAAGGGGTTCTTTGGCCGAAGACGGGGTTCTGCGTGGAATTCAAGCCGAGGCAAACTGGCGGAGCAGGCCGCGGCAGCCCTCCGGTCCCGGCGTGGGGCCTGCGAGCACGGCGAACTCTCGGGACGGCAGCCGGAGCTCGCGGCGGCGGCAGCTCTGGAAACGCCGAGCGGCCAGCCCGCGGGGCTGTCTGGTTCCCAGCTGCCACGGAGGCCGGCCGCGGACGCACAGGCTGCGGAGTGCTGAGTGCGGAAGAAACAAAGGCAGCCGGCCCGAGGCGCGGCGGGGGGCGCACAGGTGCCCGGGCGGCCCGGCGGGGAATAAGGCAGGGCTGTGTTCTCCACCATGTTCCTCGGGTCGAAGCGGACCAGCCAACGCCTTAAGCCGGAGAGTCGCCAGCCGCGCGGAGGATGCCCAGCACTTTCTAAGAGCAACCAGACTCTCCGCGAATGCTTGGAGGTTCCTTATCGCGCCGCTGAGCGCGAGGCGGCTGGAAAGAGACTGAAGTTCACCCAGGTCTTCAGCAAAAGAAGGACGGAGCTCCGAGAAGCCTCCCTGAGCCCTCCTCTGGACTGCTTGAGTCCCAGCATCGTCTTCCTCCCGGAGTTTGGGATTTGGCATTCTCTGAATTTATTTCCTCTCCTTCTTCCCTCCCCGCTTTCCTTTTATGGCCCCAGGGGGAGGGGGAGAGAGAAAGGAGATTAGTATCTTTCTAATAAAAATGCAATTTTATAAGTACTTCTTTCATTTGGTGCTACAGGAGCTAGACATTACATTTCTACTCCTGGATTTAAGATAGGTCTGCCTACTGATGGCTGGCAGAGGCAAAGGCGCGCATAGAGATAGGAAATATTTTCATCTTCAGATTGAAGAATTGTTTGGAGAAGGAACCAAATTCAGAAAGTGCAAACCTCAGAACTGCATCCCCATCAGAATCCCCCCTCAAAGCTGGAAGTAAGGCACCACCTGCGTCTGGGGATCAGGAGCATCTGATGTGAGAGAGAAATCCCCCTTCTCCCTGGATTGTATCTTTCAAGAGGCAGAAGTGAAAAATGTCGCCATTTTGTTTGCAATCCAAAATATCTATCATCATGGCCTCTATGTTCCCCCTGAGAAGCTCCCTCAGATGATCTTTAGAACCAGGCACTGGAGCCATTTCTGGGTACCTGCTGGGTCCGCAGGAGCTACTTTCAAGGAACCTCCTCACATTTTAAGAAAAAGAAAAAGGCTCGGAAGATGCAAAGCCAGGCAGCTGTAGAGATCTGGGTTTTTCTCTCACAGTGAGAGTGCTTCCCCCACATCTTTCCTGGGGCTCCTGATCCATACTTTTTTATTTTTAAAAAGTTTATGCTGTGGAACAAGGAGATTTTCTCCCTACCCCACCCCAGCCCACCCCACCCCACCCTAATCTCCCTGCCGAAATATGGCGCTCCTCAGAAATGCAGAGGCTGGAAAGTCAGTCTTTGTGAGAACTGGAGCTTCTGCTCTTTTGGTTGTTCAAATTTGAACTGAGCAGGCTGAGCAGACACAGGGGGCTTCTTTCAAGTAATAATTTTAGAGAAGTGTATAAAATTACCTGGGAAATAAGGAACAGTAGAGAGGGGGAGAGAGACAGCTGTCCACTCAGAGAGGAAAATCTTTCAGAGATACCACCATTTGAGCCCATTTCTAAAATCCACTCTTTCGCTGCGGGAGAACTGGTTTTGAGGCCTCCTCCTTGCCTCAGGGCACAGATTTTTAAATGAGATTCCAATATGATTTCCCATATCTGGCCAGTCAAGACATTCATTTTGGCTTTCAAAGAAAAAACATCAATCTCACCCCCAGTTTCTTAGACATTAAAAAGAAATCCTTATTAAAATATCTCCTGAGTTAAAGTAATAGATTTGGGGAAGATTTCAGTGTTTCAGTGTTGAATGGTCAAAGAAAAGGGTTTTCTTCCAGATGGTATTTGAATTAAGGCCACTGAGTCGAGCAGACAGCCCTCACCCACGCAGCCCCTGACAAAGCCTCAGCGATATGGGGGCAGCGCTGCTGCTCCCTCTCCGTAGCCCCCCTCCCCTTAACCCCTCAATATTTCTGGAAAAACCAAATGCCCAAAGCCACCATCCCCAGAGTCCGCAAAGCACCTTTCCCAAAAGCAGTCTTATTACTCTCATAGTGCCAAAAAACATCTTTAAAAAGACTAGTTTTCCTTGTTTACTTGCGTTTCCTGCTCTCCTCTTTGCTCAGCCACATTTGATCTTGGAAAGAGGTCGAAGCTGAAATGTGTTCTTAAGGGCCAGAAGCTGTCAAGGCTTTTGGTGAGCAAGATTGATCGTGCCCAGACTTCCTTCAGAGCTTTGTTTGGAATAAAAGCAAGAAAACTGAAAAACCTCACATTTTCCAAAATAGCATCTCTATCTGTAAGGCCATGCTCTGGGCTAGCCAACGATGGAGGCCACTTTATATCTAATTTCCAACCCAAGCCCCCTTTGATGCTGGCCTCAGAGATGGAGTCCTATCCTTGTGCCTCGGCCGGCCTTTCTTGTTTTCTACGTAGATTTTTCTCCCCCACCAACCTCTCTCTCTCTGGCCATCAGAATGATTTATTTTCCTGCCACCGATGCCTGCCGGCCTGGGGGAGTCTGATCACTTGGTCCATTTCAAAGGAAGCAAAAGCGAATCATCATCCTCAGGGGGGAAAAGAGATACCTCCAGATTTCTCTCTCAGCCTGCTCCACTCTTTCTGGCTTGGTGGATTTTTAAAAAGTTATTGTCTGCTACTTAAAGGTGTTATCTTTTGAACCCTCCAGCACAGTCTAAGATGCGCTCAGTCTCAAGTCTCCGAATTGGAAAAAAGAGAGAGTGGACAGAGAAAGAGAACCTTTATATTCTTCCTTGGGTCGCCCTCTCTCACCCGCGGTGCTATTTCCCACAACAGAACCTGGTGCAAATATTCCTGGTGGCCAAGGAGCGGGAAGGTGCGGGAGGCAATTCGGGCTGCCAGGGAGCACCCACCGCATCTGAACCAACAAGTCCCCAGTCACAGCGACAACGACAAGGAGAAGAAGGGGAGGAAAGAAAAAGAAAAAAAGAGAGGAACAAACGCCTTCTCCCTGCTGCTAACTTCCAGCAGACTTCCTGGAAATCAGAAATACTCACCGCACCCGAGCCCTATGGGTATGAAACCCAGAATGCCAGGAGCCGCGCTCGCCTGCTCGGGCGCGGCATTTCTTTGGCTAGCCGCCGCCCTGGCTACAGGGATTTGGGCACAGGGACCTGGGGTTGTTGTCTCGCTTGGCACATGCATCTATCTTTCTGGAGCCACTCCTGAAAAGTTGATGGCGCAGGAAGGTCGGGAAGCTTCGAGAGCCGCCTCCCATTTTCCGCTTCCCGTTGCAGCCAGATGCATAGCTGCCTTGGAAAAGCCGGTTAACAATGGGCCGGGGTCCGGGGTCTGGGGGCGCGGATTCCGAGCTGGGCTTTGGGAGGGGGGCGAGGGCCTGCAGGAGGTGGGGGAAGGAGAGGCGGACAGAGGAGAGAGAGGGAGGGAGAGAGGGGTGAAGAGGGAAGAAAAGAGGGAAAGACAGACGGACAGAGAGAAAGGAAAACAGAGCCAGAGAGAGATCAGTGCTGAGATGCAGGAAGTGGTTTTAGAAAAGGCGGAGGAGGAAAAGGAAAATAAGAGTAGGGGAACCCCAAAAAGCATCCTTTTTCCCTCTCTCTTCTCTTTCTCTCCTTCCCTCTCTTTTTCTTCTTCCTGTCTCATCTCTCCTCTCCCTCTGCTCCTTCCTCCTGCCTTAGCAGAACTTATGTGGCTGGGATGCGAGGGCCTTGGGTGTCAAAACTTTGAAGATTAATGGATTACTTTGTTAATGACTGCAGGCGTCAGACTGAGGTGCTTAAATGATTTGTGAGGTGCGAGGCGTCTTCCCGACAGTCCCAAACAATGCGCGGAGTGTGCGGGGGAGGCAGAGGGCAGCCGCCGGCGGGACCGGCAGCAGGGCTCACACTCGCACACACACACTCACACACACTCCCAGGCGCACACACCAGATCCTTGCTGATCAGGAGGCAGGCAGGCACCCTCGCCCCCACACACACCCAGGCATCCCCATCCACACCCACATATATGTATTTTTGCCCTGAAAAAAGTGTAAATAAAGCCTCGCTGGCCCCCAATGAGGCGTTCCTTCCCGACTTTTTTGGATCAATCAAACAGACAGTGGCTTCTTTTGATTAAAGCCCAAATTGTCATTGGGCAGAAGCAATCATGTGACAGCCAATTCGGTCCAATTTCAACCTTGTCTCCATGAATTCAATAGTTTAATAGTAGCGCGGTCCCCATACGGCTGTAATCAGTGAATTAGAAAAAAAACACCCCAGCAGCGATCTTCTATGATAGATTTTTTTTTCCTCCGCGCTCTCCTTTTTCCTGGGCCTTGCCCCCCCAAAGCCCCTCCAGAAGAGGGAACTTTTTCTCCGAGGGGGCTCCAAGGAGAAGGCCATGAATTACGAATTTGAGCGAGAGATTGGTTTTATCAATAGCCAGCCGTCGCTCGCTGAGTGCCTGACATCTTTTCCCCCTGTCGCTGATACATTTCAAAGTTCATCAATCAAGACCTCGACGCTTTCACACTCGACACTGATTCCTCCTCCTTTTGAGCAGACCATTCCCAGCCTGAACCCGGGCAGTCACCCTCGCCACGGCGCTGGCGGCCGCCCCAAGCCGAGCCCCGCGGGCAGTCGCGGCAGCCCAGTGCCCGCCGGCGCCCTGCAGCCGCCCGAGTACCCGTGGATGAAGGAGAAGAAAGCGGCCAAGAAAACCGCGCTGCCGCCCGCCTCGGCCGCCGCCGCCGCCACCGGCCCTGCCTGCCTCAGCCACAAAGGTCAGTCCAAAGACTTGGCCCCAGGTCCCCGGGACCCTCTTCCCCCTCTGGGCTGCCCCAGGAGCGGTTATGGGGGGAGGGGAGCGTGGGCTGAGAGAGAAGGGGGAGAGGGAGAGATG